CAAGCAAAGAAACCTGACGACGGACATGGCCGGACTCGTCGCAGCGCTCGACTCATGCATGCACCCTTGGCGCAAGTTTGCCGTGCCATCATCAAACAGGATCCTTCGAGGAGGCTTGCCGCATGCTTCCCAATCATGTGTTGCGGCCCGGCTTGCTCCAAACAGGGCATGGGGCTCAGCTGTCACCGAACTAATTAAAAATAAAAATAAGGAATTGATTATACTACCGTGCTACCATTTACTAGTCCTCACTTGAGCAAACGAAGCCGTCGTCGGTTCTCATCCTCACCCCCTTGCCCTTTCTTTTTCATGCTCTGCGACAGCACTTGGGACTCTTCGCTTGGCTGCAACGGGAAACCGAATCGAGCGGCATCTCAACCCCCGGCCTCCACACGATTGCAAAACGGCTCCCCGGTCCGGAGGTCCTAGCGGGTGCGACTGCAAGCCCGCGGTGCGCCTAGCGCTTCCTCCCGCTGCTGAATCAAGCAGAAACGAAGGTTGTGTCCAAGCAGTAGTAGATGCATATGTGAGAGCGTGTGTTAGTGAGAGAAGGGGAGAAAGACATGTTGTGATTGCAGGAAATGAGAATGGCGGTGATGAATGGTGACTGCAGTGTGCCGTGTTGCAACGCCTTCTTCCTTGATTGATTCTTTTCTAATCTCTCCTTGCAGATGCGAGCGAGCGAATGAGGGTGGCCATCACATATTACATATGGAGAATATCGATGCAAGGCATATATTAAATGCTGCCAGCTCGTCAACATTGGCCTTTCCCCGCTTACATGTGATAATCTCGTCCCGACTTTTTTTTTTTCATCACTTCTCTTTCATCACTCTTTCGTAATTTTCTTTCTATTCAATTTCTCTTAAGAGGTGAAATCGCGATGCGATTCAACCAGACTGCATGCGACAGACAGCATCTCCAAGTTTCCCAAATAGGGCTGTAGTAGTCAGCCAGTAGATGAGTAAGAGTAACAACAGCAATAGGCTGGTTGCCCGTTTCAGACGAGAGAGCCCGCCCTCTTTACGAGAACGCCCATGCCGCCCGACGGCACCACTGCGTATAGATTTTAATTACCTGCTGCTAAAACCGCGCGTCCGCTTCCACCAGCCGGAGCCATGGCTAGCTACAGCACGCTGGCCTAGCATTTGCGACGCGTCAGATTTGCCCAGCGAGCTGGAAACGATCGCAGGCGGCGGACTCCGCTACCTGTCACAAATGATACAAGTAGATGGATCAAGCAGGTTAGAGTAGGGGAGAGATAGTCAAGGTGACACATGCCAAAACGCTACGCGGCAGATGCCTTTTAGCCTACTGCGGCCGAGTAGCAAGCCCGCATGCATTTAGTAGCAGCACCTCAAACTCCCTGCCTTGAAGCCGTGGCTCCAATAGCGGCACACACACGCTCACACGCAAAAAAGAAGCAAGCCAAGTGCAAAGGAGGGAAAGAAGAAAAAAAAAGGGCTGACTAACTGTGAACTTGCTAGCTGGCAGAGGAGGAGGATGCATGTGGTCTGCGCCGGAACGGGCTTCCGGTCTGGCATAGTGCGCGTGAGGCTGAATCAGGCGGTGATTGGGCTTTTTATTAGGGGGGGGGGAGGGGAGTAGCATAGCAATGGAGGGGATTATCCGAAGGACGGGACTAATAATAACAAGTGCTACACCGTATATGCATGCCCGCGCACAAATCAAGGAAACGTTTTCTTGTTTTCTTTTCCCTTTTTTTTTCTTTGCTTTTTTGTCGGACAGTTGACCACTAATATCTGTGTGTTTTGTTTCCTCGAGGCAAGATTTCCTATTTGGGATTTGCATAATGTTCAGCTCCCGACGAAGCGCAGGGGGCAGGTATATAGATGCGGGCCAATAAGAGGACATATCACATCCCAGCCGCAATATCATTGGAAAGAAAAAAGAAAGGGACGAAGAATAAAAAAAAAAAAAAAGACAGGGAGAAAAAATGGAAAGAATAATGTGATGAAAATCCTGCTTCTGCTGACTACTCCCCCTGTCTTCCGTGATGTTTGCACGTCTGTCTCGTTCCTGTTCTCCACGATTTCCAGTTCCCCTACCTTACATCTATCCTGTTGTAGGTACTCCGCACTCTTGTTGACGGTATCGGGATTTTTCATACCAAACCAGTCTCAACTCCACACCCTAAAGAACAAGTCTTGCGTAAAAGAGACCTACGCTGTTACAATAGAGGTTGAGACACTTTTTGAGTCAAAAGTAGTATTTGTTTTCTTGTTTGGATCATGTGAGATGCAATGAGACATACCATCTCACTTGATTCTCTTCGTTGGGTTTTTGATAGTAGTACTAGTAGTATTTCCCTGCGTGTTGAAATGCAGCATGGCGATTCGGCATGCGTGCGCGGAGGACGGAAGGCCAGCCCGGCTTTGTGGGGCGCGGATCTGGTGTTTGGTCAGCCAGTTTTTGACCCTTTGGACTTGCTAATGCAATGCAGATATCCCTTGGGGGTCCCGAGAAACTCGAAATGGGCTGATGGAATAAATTGATTTATCTTGATTATTTTTAATTATTATTTTCTCTGGCTGTAATAAAACTCATATAGCCCTTCTTTGCAAACATCGGCCAGCCATGCCACCTAACACCACGCTACATGCACTCGGATATCGATTTCAGCTCCCCATACAACAAAATTGCTTTTTCTCGATCCAAGCAACAACTAAAATTTTTGCGCATCGACAAACGATGGCCAATAGACTAGACTAGCTTGCTGCCAATCTGTTCGGATCATGCATGTGCCGAGCGCACAGGCTGTTGGTCCAGTCTGTCTGGCAAAAAAATGAAACCCTTGGAGGGGAAAGCAGAGACATTGCATGCGAGGGAGGTGGATCGCCGTTGACGTGTCGCAGTAATAGTTAACAAAGCTAATGCAATGATCTAATCTAAAGATGAAGTTATTTTCAAGATGTCCCTGTCATATGTGATATACTTTGCCCTACTTGCACTCCACTGTTCAGTTGCGCTTTTGTAACGAGGCTTGCTATAAGCCATGTAAGTTTTATTTCGTTTGCGTATCAACTATCGTGCCCCCCTTTGAGGGTCCAGCCGAAAGAGGAAAAAAGGCTGTAGTTATGTTGACTCAGAAGACTCAGATTGAGGCAAAAAAAAGGCCAATGCGAGTCTTTTGACTCACTAGAATTCGGCCGATGTGAGCCCACGAACTGTATGTCTCTGGTGCATTCCTGTCCCTGCTGCTGGGGCCCTTTTTGAGGTATAACAATGCTCGAAATGCACTTGGGAACGCCAAGCCTGGGGAAAGCATTATTACTTACATGTATTCCCCCCTTGGATAAGTTCCATTTGCCAAGGCCCTGGATCTTGTTAGGCTGCGCAAGCGTACCTGTCAAAGGCGCATACGTATATTTAGATACTGCATCAAACTCTGGCTGAATCCAGATAGTGCTACTACCAAGGTACTACAAGCCCATACAGGTACGTGTATGCAGTGAGGTCAGCCACCAACCCCCCTCTAAAGTTTGATTTTCCAGTGCCTGAATATGTACCTCGATAAGCGAGACACTCCTCCAAGATCCTATGGCGGGGCAATCCATCCTAGGGGTGGCGATGACTTGCTGAAGTGACACAGGAGGGCCAGAGACATGAGACCGCATGGAGATTAAACAACGGGGGGCAATAAATGAGAATCATGGGGCAGAAGCAAGGGAAAGGAGTAATTGTTTTTTTTTTTTGATATTTTATTTGTATGATAATTTATTTCTTTTATTTATTCATCTCCGCATACAGTAGGAGTAGTGGCTTATACTGCTGGATGCAAACGTTTGACACTGATGCGAGCGGAGCGGTACCTGAGCTACGGCTGCCATATGCGGCGATTCAAGGCACAGTAGCTCAGCCACCGATGTACTCCGCCTTTTGTATCCAATCGATGGTGATGCATCACGATTACGACGCAAAAACTGGGGGAATGGTGCTTCTATTCTGGTATCAATGCAAAAGAAAAAGAAAAAAATCGAAAAAATCGATTTTATTTTATTTTACTTTACTTTTTTTTTTTATTCATCCATGTCTTCGGCGGTACCTGAACCCTGAAGATCATGAGGCAACGTCAAGTCGCAATTTAGTCGTGCCTTTCACATGACTCTGGTCCAAATCAGATGGATACCGTGGGTATCTCGGTTCAACAAGCAGTGCCATTGTCTAGAACGCGCTCCACCAAAAGGGGGATCAACCACCGTGTAGGCCACTTGGTCGAGTAATGTAGTTCAGCAGCTCACGTGAATGCTTGTTCAAGACCTGGAACATGCCCGACTATTTGCTGACGGGGAGCTAGATACTGTACAGTATGCTGAAGCAGACGATCAACTCTGGAATCCGGCTTGGCGCCCCATTAGTGCACATCAATTTCCAGGGTAGCAGCAAGCTGATCAACAAAGGCCCAGACTCGATATGCCCGCGAGCCCGCGAGTTGAGCTCGCTGCAGGAGCCGCCGTAGATCCTATTCTGACAGGGAGTCAGTGGCGATATATGCAGCATCCATGCCTATTTCCCCGTTACAGCCTGCTAGACATGGCAAAAGATGGTTCTGTTTTGCCACCGGGCCGTATCTGACGGACTGTCCAGAGCACAGTAAACGGCAGCATGGGCTCCAATATTTCGCATAGCTCGGTAGGAGATATATGCCGGGCCGGGGGTTGACGATAGCTCATAGGAGGAAGTATCTATCTAGCTTCGCACAGCCTCGGCCTGACTTCTGACAAGGCAAAAGCCCGCATGAATAATTCTAGGCCCAGAGATGGGCATGCTGACACGGGCTGGCATTTGATAGCACACAGCCTAGGTTCCAGGTTCCAGGTTGCATGAGGTTGACTATCGGATGGACTGCCAGCTAGCAACATGGCAATACCCCGTAAATGCTACGGCGGAGTATCGCCGTCAACTACCGCCTCCACGCGGGGTAAAACGAGGCCATTTCCATTTAGGCGCGCTTTTGACACGAGCACAATCATACGGCCATGTCGCCGAGGCTGAATAGCTTTGCTCGGCCCCTCTCTAATTGCCACTTTCAGGCAGATGTTTGGATCGGGATGGAGGCGGCCTCATATGGGACAATGGAAAGGGCCATGGTTGGCTCTGGTAATTGCGGAGAGGCGATCAAGTGACTGCTGACAAAGGAAGACGGCACGGCGCAAGGGAACAGGCACATGACTTGCGCGTTATGCCTTACTAAGGAAAAACGGTGGGCATTGGGCAAGCTTTGGCGCATGCACTTTATTGTAGGTAGCCTCGTCGATAGCGTCCTACGGCTAATCCACGGGTGACTTTAGCGGAGAGCGCGCACGACGGCGAACTCCCAGACGGCGCATTGCTCGAAACGGTAGTCTAAGCGCCGTAACGGTACTTGCCGAGAAAACGAGAACGAGCAGTCCAATAACACAAAGGGTAAAGGGCCCCTCTCCGCCATTCGGACTCATCGCGAGTGAGCATTTAGCAACGGTTGGGGGGCATAGGAAAACGGAAGAGGGACATGCACAAGTACTGTACAGAGTACTTTCAGCTTTGTTACACATAAGCTTGTTCAAGTCACCTACCTACCTGGTCTTAACGTCATCTCATACTGAGGGGCCCCTCTTACACATGCGAAAAGGCGGTCGAGTTAGCTTTCCTCGATGTGTGGCCTGCATGAATCAATGGGAAAAAACATTGGCCGATGGCCTTTCTGCTCCAAGCATGAGAGGCTACTGTACTTTTGACAAGGCCCTTTTCGGCCGATCTTTTGGTTGAGTACACATGTAAGAGGAAAAGCGGCAAACGTCCATGTTTCCTTAGTTCAACGTTCTTCTGGAACATGCAGGGCGGTTTCTTCAGCCAGGCCTGGGGGGTTGCATCGGCGGACCGTCCTATTTTTCTTTTCCGCTAGGTTGTTTAACCCGCCTGCATCTGCAAAGCTAAAAAAGATGGTGTATTTACTGTATCTCCGCCGTGCTGTACAGATTCTCACAAGTGACGACACAGCACATTCTGCTGGAGATGTTTGCATGCTGGCGGCCTCAAGGGGAGGGGAGTTCATGACTCGGCTTGAGACAGCTGCGCATAAAACGGATCGCCGCGCAGCTGACTGCGGAAATGATTTCCATGTTGCTTCTAGAAGATTGCCAAGAATTTCAATTCTGGCACTAGGAGCACGCACAACAAGTCATGTCCCCTCCTTGATTCTCTGCTTGCTGTCTGCCTAAGAGAGAGGGGCGTCTGGCGTTTGAAGCCAGCAATTTCGGCCCCGCAGCCGGAGTAGCGCAGCGACGAGGCTACTGACCTGCGACCGGGTCACTCTTGGTGTTGACTGAGCCGCCATTGGCCTTGTGGTTGCTTCTGGGAATGCAGGGTCTGCCCCATCTCGTAACAGGTTAGTTTAGAGCGCGTTAAAAGCCGAGCAATGAACCGAGGACACGACTCATTCCAACTGATAACTCGCTCGCTGACTATCAGGGACTACGTTGGTTACTTACTGTACGGAGCGAAATCCGGTCAAGCTGATTGATGGGAGGGCTTGTGATAATGGAGCAAGCTGTGCCGTGTCCGTGAACTGGCTGTATACAGTAATTAGCAGTTTGTGCCTACGGTTTCTATTTATTGCAGCTCGGTAAAAAAAAAAAAAAAAAATTGCTGAAGAAGCCCACAATGTTCTGCGCCACAGGGCGCATGTCAAATGCACGCCACCCGTGTCATCCCGACTCGATCCGAAATGACAGCAAAAAGAGAGGAGAAACAACCTATTGTGGATAATGTTCCATCTCAACCTCTGCAATTTTTTTTTCTCTCACCTAATGCGGCATAACGTAAGAGGCACATGTCGGTATTTCCCCTACGCTTCAATACTGTAGAATGCCTACATGTGGGCACGTCAAAACCCACAGGCAAACAAGCTGGAAATGGGGACGCGGGTCCCAAAATGAGCAGAATAATGCCAATACATTATGACGGACAAATACATGTTGGCTTGTTCCTGTGACCGCCTGCTGGAATCGGGGAAATGGGGCCGCAAAGGGGAGACCGGGAAACTTCAAGACACGTGGATCACTGTGCCTGAGGCTCCGTGCCTTTTGCCTCGACGATCCGGCAAAACTTTGTACTCTGGAGCGGTGCTGCTGTGCTATACAAGCAGGTAGCATGTGGTGTAGCGTGCGATAGCGCGTGGTCCCTTTGGTGAGGCCATCGTGAACTTCGGGGAACCTAAAGCCTGGGCCTGCCATCACCTGCCAGGCCGGGCCTTGCGCCGCCGTCCCGGCTCTTTGAGGCTCTCCTCTCGTATTACGCATACGGCGACGGGGCTCCGCAGAGCTGCTATCAAGAGGGCCTGGCCTGGTTAGTGACATTTCATCACGGCCATTGAGAGAGGGACCAAAGAGAGTGTCTATCCACTCGTCGGTGGACTAATCCAGTCCACATGCTGGATACCATGCCTGGGTACCGATACTCCGTGGCGGTACGGCGGTAGAGGCCTCTCTTTTCCCCTCTCTTTTGTGTACGTATCGCAGGTTACAATGCCCGTAATCGAGCGGATCCCCGATTCCCACCTATCGAGAAAAATCCAGAATAAGAGGAAAGGATATTGGCTGGATGGGAAGGGGTGATACGAAATTTGGAGCGCTAGGAGGAAAACAAAGGGCTCGGTGGGGACCAAAGTGGAATTTCCAATGGTGCAATTTTTCCAGTTTTTTCTTCTCAATTTATTCTGGCACGTCTCCGTAATTAACCAAGCTAAGTAGAGAGGAGAGAAAAAATGAATAAAAAAATAATAATGGGGGTGCTTTTGAACGAATCGTGAGATAAAATAAAAATAAAAAAATAAATTCATCTGGGAATTTATCCAGGCAGTGGAATTTCCCAGCCACTGAGCAGGTCCCCCTCCTCCCAGGCACAATGGCACTACCGCAAATCACTTTTTTGCTATCGAAAACCGGATCTGTTCAGACTCCTTTGTTCCACACGTTGGAACGGAGAGCTGGCCCGCCCACTTCGGGCCTTTGTCGTGACAAAGTAGCTCCGGACAAACGCCGTGAGGGAGCTCGAGCTTCCCGTGTGCAGTATGTGATGAGTGTTGTTGATTCAGTTTGTGGATAAGGCGAGTCGACGCAACGCGCCTTGGGATGCCAAGGAACTGGCGAACGAGTCAACTGACTGATTGAGTGAATAAACGAATTGGACTGAACTGAATTGATGAATTGATTGTAAACGATTGAACGGAGTTGGCGATTGCGAGCTACGAAAAGAAGCAGCGGAAAGGCTACGGGCGTGCCGCGGTGCCAGCATTTGATGGCCATGGAGCCGTATTCTGGCATGTGCACCTACAAGTATTGACACCGGCAACACATTGTTGGCAGCCATCAACAGCAGCTTCTCTCTGGATAGAGTATTTACGGAGGAGGCATTCACGATTTCGTCCAACGTGCAGGCAGATGGACCCTGAGCAATGGCCATGCTGATAGGGCTGGCATGCCATGCTAGGCCAAACGCCCCAACATGCATGCTTTTCCCACGCGTGTTGAGTCGAGGCATGCGCCGTGGCTATTCTGTACTGTAAAAGCTTAATGCTGTGTTGCATGCAACGGCATCGCAGCCGATCGATCAGCCCTTTTACCCGCCTACACGCGCGGGAGAGACTTTGTGACCAGATCAAACACGATGCGTGTCTACGATGTTTGCGACTCGTGGTGAGACCGGGGTCTCTGTACCTTTTTGTCCCCAGTCTCCCTGGTAAGGGAGTGCGAGGCTGCTGTTCAAGCTTGCACGGCTTTCCATGTTTTGCAATTTGATAACGAAATTATTTGGTAATTTAATGGGTTGCTTCATTACAATGTTGCTTGCTGGCGTACCATTGCATCGGGATTCCGGTGGTGAGGTGAATAGGAACTGTGTAAGTTGGTGGTTTATTGTGAGGTTTTGGGGCATTGCCTACCAGTAGTCAAGAAACGCCAGGCAGCAGGCCAAGCGGTCGTGCACGACTACATTCATCATGCTGTTGGCTGAGACGTCCCAAAAAAAGCAAAGAGAGCAGAAAATGAAATTGAAAATAGAATAAATAAAAAAACCGTCGACTAAAATAGAATAGAATAATAGCAATCAATAATTAAACGCTACTTGTGTGTGCAATGAATCTGTTGGCCCAGCAAGGGCAGTTATACATGCTCCCTTCGCCTGCAAACATAAACTCAATCGCTCCGCGTCCAACAGCAACGACTACCCCGTATTGCTGCCAATGGGGTTTCAGCCCGCCTCCAGTCGATCACGGCTCCGCAAAACGGCAAAAAGGAGGCTTGACCTGGCTGATGCGGTTGAAGCATTCATGTTGCTGTTGGCCCTGCCCTGCCCGTCTGTGCGGCCATACGCTTTTCCACTTCCATCTGCGTCATCATCAGTCGGCGACTTTGCATCGCTCCAAAGGCTGCGCCCGGCACTGGCCAACGACCAATCCGGCTCCAGGCTGTCTGGGCGTTTGACGTTTGATCTGCTGGCGATGGTTGACGATCCGTGCTGCCAGCCCGATTCTCCAAGCTGCATCTACGCCTCTGTCATGCGGTCTGCCAGGCACGGCCAGCAACGCCTCTGCCCCGATTCTTCTTTTCAACTCTGGGCCATTGTTCGAGGCCGATGGCTGCCAACCAGGCATCGCCGGATGGGGAAGGCTTTGACAATGGATGGCTTGTCCGAGAGGCATCGAGATTGGACTGCATATTGTCGAATGGCTCGAGGACAAGATAACCCGTGAATGAATGACTGAATGAATACGCAAATGCACACTCCATCCGGGGCCCCGGCTTTGAATCCCGTTTGGCAGCATCTCCTCCAGACTTGGAGACCACTGCGCCCAATTACGGCACTTGTCAGGAGCAATCGGGCGGTCCTATGTATGCCTACGCGTTCGTTGGCTGCTGGCAGATGACTACAGGCTGCGTAATGGGGGCGGGAGGCGGGAGGCGCGAGTATAAACAGCAGGACGGCAATGGATGAGGCAGGTATGTTTGTATTGGATGGCATGCCGCTGCACTCCTTGGCCTGCGGGCTCCCATAGGCAAGCTCTCAACTGACGGGCCTCGTCTAGGATGACACACTTGTATCTGGCCTGCAAATCGGCATCGCCAACGGATGGTGGTGGTGCCTCTGTAGGCTGTACGCTAATGTGGGAGGCATTGATGATGATGATAGCATCACCCTGCCGTTGACGAACCGCAGCTTTCTCAGGAGGGGGAAGAGCAACAGGGAAGCCGGGGTGAGAAACAGACAGACATTGGCATTGGTCTTTGAGTCAACGCCCATCGACCCCTTCATCTGTCTTCCATGGGACAGCTACATGCTGGTGCGCGAAGCTTGTTGCCGGTCATGCGTCTGAAAGTGATGAACTGGCACTCCCCGTGATAAGGCCTTTTTTTTCTTTTACAATCTACAGTGCGTCCAGGCGCAGCCAAGCTCACTCACAGGCTGACAGTTTTGCCTGTGTCCATGCCGGCGTCGCTTTTGATAGCGGGTTGTCGCAGCTACAGTACAGTATACAGCCATGTCTGCTAGCCGTGGGCGGTTGTTTGCGTTGCTCGAAACAGCAACTCAGACGTACCACACGATGTTTTCGCTGCTCAAGTGACCGCCTACGTGGCGGCTGCAGGATGGCGCCCGCTCCGCCTTCCCCGCCCCTGATGATGCACCCATGGACTGATTGTCCAAAAGAGCTATCCGCCGCTACAGAATTCAGCCCCCAAAGGCCTGATCCGGTGGTGGAGGTGCGTCTTTTCAGCATCCAGTCGCTCCCTTAGGCTGTTTCATGACCTTTGGCCCAGAAGCCGCCGCTGCTACCTGAATGGCCTCACCGACGATTTGGCGAGCTCAGCACAGACAGACAGACTACACTACACGCCCCTCCGTACCGTCAGATGATGACTGCCTGCTGGACCCCGAGAGAATAGGCACTGGACCCTGGATTGAGACGGGCCAAGACGTCGCAGCGAATCAAACTCCAAGTGCATTGGAACGATGGGCATATCGACAGCTCAGACGGCATTGCTCAACCGCCAAAGAGTCATCGTCCACCAGCCCGGCGCAGGCGGCTGATTCATATCGAAGCGCCTGCTGCATGCTGCAGATCCCGCAGCCCTCTTTGGGCGAGCAGCATGCACACAGCTGCCGACCGCAGGGCTTTTTCTGCAACAAGCGCTCGCAGAGCTATCCATGCGATGTGACGCACGATAGACGTACTCGATATTAGTCGTCGGCCGTCCAGGGGGAATTGAGCTGCAGCCGTCCCCCATTGCGCTTTGCGATTCTGCTGCGACCTGGGCATGGGCAATCTCAGTTCAAATTACGTTTGTTATCACTGCAAGTGTTTTTACCGCATCTTTTGCAACCTCTTGGCTCCCGAGACCGCAGCAGCCCCCATGTGAACGCGGAAGTGGCGCTTCGCAATGTCTCTAAAAAAAAACAAGAACCTGACACAGCGCGACCGGCCCGCACCCGAGATCATCTGATCGCACAGAGCTGCCTTGCTTACTTTATCGCAGGGACCAAGACCCCGTGTTGATAGGCGGCAATATCTACTTGTACATGCCTACTCACAAGCTGGTGTGTGCTGTTGGCCTCACGAACCTCTGGGGCCCTTACAGCCTTCCCCGGAGGAGGGAGGGTGGTGTCGTCGTATGTAAGCCGCGGAATGTCACCATACTCTGGAGAGAGACGGTCCTTTTGTTCGAAACACACTGGATGCGATTTCTGCTTTCTGGTTCTCTCGATCAATCCCGCACAAGGCACCGAGGAAGGAAAATTCCAACTCGTCACATTCACATTTGGTGACAAGCAAGCAATCCCCTTGGCCAAAAAGCACGCCATTTCTGCTGATGGCCTTGGGAACCCGCGTGGGGGTTGTTTATTTCCCACTACGGGCAGCCGAGCAGCTGGAAAACTTATTGGTTGAATTGCGCGTCGTTTGAAGCGGACCAATTGACATGGCAGATTTTTCAATTTTTTTTTTCCTACTGTTCGTGTTCCGCGTCGTGCATGATGGCGCTGGCTACGGAATACCTAATACGCAAAGGCGGCTTCTTGATTCTGCTTTCCATCACCGAGGCCGCAATTTTAGCAGCTGTAATAAACCTGTAACCGGCATGTAGACTACGAGGTTGCCGAAGGAGGGCACGTGTAAATCGAGGTTTTTTTTCTTTTCTTTTCCTTTTTTTGCAAAAGGTTCTCCGGTATCGCCCGAGGAAGCTCGGCGAAGGCGCTCCAGGTCGCCGTCCATGATCTTGTGAAAGAAATTGCAATTTAATGAGAGTAATTCCGGTTCATAATATCATCCGAGGATAAGAAGGAGCCATTGAAGTAGGGCCAAGCAGCTGATCTTGCTGGGCTGGACGGGAAGCAGCTGCAAGGATACACTGTCTCGAACGACACAGCATCAGGGGAAGCAGTAGTAGTAGAGATGGCAGCCAAGATGAGATTGAAATCATAATATTAATTAATTCCTAGTGCCGGCATGAATTTATTAAACAATATTTTCATTTTATTGTGATATAAAATACCAATTTATTCCCAGCCAAGCTGAGACTTGACTTGCGTGGGTTGCACACTACCCCGTCTCTATTCTCGAGGGTATCACAAACGGCAAGATTCGCTCACCGCACATGGAGGAGAACACGTTGTACCTTGGAAATGATAGTTACCTTTAATTCCCTTTTTTTTTTCCATTCACATGAGCATCTCCAGCCAGGCAATTCCAAGCACAGCGTGGTACTGCCGGGTCAGGGCTGTCGGACAACATGCATACATCCACGCCATCTCAAATCTTGTCTCTCTCCTGATAGCTTGGCCTGGGAAGAGATTAAGGGAAGCGGGCTAGGGCTTTGAAAGGTGTGGTTGAACAATGTCCAGACGATCAACTCGTATTCATTTCTCTTGTGTATGGAGGTACACACCGGCTCTCTCTATTTTCATTTATAACCAACCAATGCTTGATGAGTGAAGTTGTGGCTTTTTTTCCCCGTGTATACGTGAAGGAGCTGCGGGACTGAACATGGCGGCTGATGAGCAGTTTTGCTTGGTTTCCAATGAGCTCTTTCGTAAGTGCTACTGCGTGTTCTGTAATTCCTAGTTTTGCTTGGACACGAGATGTTTTCTTTGTTCAAAGGTCATATGGCGATTATGATTGGCGAGGACTGCCATCAACATGGCATGAAGACTCAATGTACGAAAAGGAGATTACGACACACCCGGGATACGAGTCTCAGCTCAAACACGTCGAAGGTTATTCCGGATGAGTCTGTTGCCGAGATGCACCCAGCGTGACTCTCCTTTGTATTTCTTGTACACGCACAATTACTGACGGCGGTGTGATGTTGCGCTACCCTCTCTCACTTCTGCCCCCTTTCCCGCATGTTCACATCCTTTTCCTATCTGGACGCGGGTGTGAAGGGACAAAAAAACTGGCCGAGACTCTCTCTCTCTCTCTCTATTGAGTGTATTGGATATAGGCCATGAGACACGGCAGACGGGAGCCAACATATGCCCCACGGGGAGATGCTGCAGTAAAGGAAGCGCAGGATCAAGAGAGCAAAAGCTCCGCCCAGACCAAAATAAAAAAAACGCTTTGATCACCAATGAAATCTGGAGAGAAGCAAAGCCGTTTTCGAGACGGGAAGCTGCCTCTCTGATCCGGCCTTTGCTGGTTTGGCTGGAGACGGGGACCTCTTTTCTTACCAACAGAAGGATGGGCCAAGAGCAAGAGCGAAAAAAAAAGTGTCACAGTGCAATGGAGGCGTCGGAGCCAAAGCTGGAAGGATAGGCAAGAGGAAGAGGGATGATGATCATGTGGTTGCGGTTGGTCCGAGGGCCTTGTCGTCTTGTCCAGGATGAGGCCTCTAACATGGCACGATGTTCGAACCAGCTTGTCGGAGACACTACGACTCGGTCTAGATTCAGCGACTCAGAGAAATAGAAAAGTCTGGCTGAAGAAGAAACAAGAGTGAGACATTTTTTAACTCTTGTTTTATTTTTATATAATTATTTCATTCTTAGTTTGCAAGATGTGTGTCTTCTTTTACGAGAAGCGCCGAACTGCCGGGGCAAGTATACGCGGGCGCAAAACTGACTCTCTGCAAAATTTGCCTCCCTTTCGTGTAAGGCCCGGAAGACAAGGCCCCGAAAAAAAATAAAGAACTCATTTTGCTCTTGTGATGGCCCCAGACGAAGGAAGCGCAGCTGCCATTCTTCGGCGATGGATTTCGAAAGGGCCAAGGCTCGGACATGAGCGATATTGGCGAGGAATTCAAACAAACGAGCTGATGCCAATGTAGGCAGAGAGCCAAGGAGGGAAAGAAAGCCACTGCCTTCACTTTTAGTCCTTCACACGACCAACGCCAGCGTTGCACTGCGCAACCGGTGAGACAAGCCACTGATTGCGAGTCTTGTTTGTATTTTTTTGTATTTCTTAATATTTTAAATAATTGACTGATAAATTGCATTTTATTATTAGTTTTCTTATTGGAAGAGACAGGCAGCAGCAAAAAAAAGAGCAATTAATTACTTTGGGGGCCCCTCCACGAGGCCGTGTCTCACTTCATGACCCCAAATACCTACTGCGTGTCTTGCTTGTTCATCACACCGACTGTTTTGCTTTGGACTGCCGACTCAGCTCAGGCTTGAGCGTGACCTATTTTTTTTGTAATATTTATTTATATCGTTTTAATTTATTGTTTTCCCTGTTTACTTATCTAATAGTATGGTTTCCTCATTTTTCGGTCCCGTCTTGGCAGCCCGCCTGTGCAACGGCGATAAAAGAAAAAGCTGGGGAGGGTGGGCGGAAGAGGTCCTGCGTTGTCCAATCGCATGCGCAGTATCGTCTCGTCTTTTTGAAGAATGAGAGAGAGAGAGATTGAGAGAGAAGAAGAAGAGGAAATAGTGTGTGTAAGTCGAGTGAGACCGGCCATCTGCTGTGTCACCGAGCGGTGATCATGATTGCAACTTTGGAGAGGGTGGGCTGAATTGGAGGGTGGAGGGGGAAAAAAAAGGGTCTGGGCCAATGGGTTTGGGAGGCAGCTGGAAGTGTGATTCGCTTTGGGGGGAGGGAGTGGCTTAGACTTGGAGACGAATGAGGTGGGAGAAGAAAGGAAAAGTACAGTCAGAGAGGATTTTCGGATGGGGATGTGTTTCTGGGAGAAACATGAATGACATAAGAATTGGTGGCGTATTACGTGGGAAGAGGTGTCGATGTGATGGGTGCGGGATAGTTGATTGCTTGACGTATTGGGGAAAAGAAGAGGGATGAAGTGCAAATGATGAGAAATTGGAAGCGATATGAGTAAAGAAGAAGAAGAGAGAAATAAGAAGATGCGGTGATGATGAGAAGTAGAAGGATATAAAAGAAGTGGTGGTGATATTCACAGTGGGATATACAGAGGTGGCGGGGTTGTCTGTTGTAAGTCGAGCATGTAAGCAAATATCATTCAAAAGTGATGCATATCATGCAATAGATGTAAGAAATGTTATAGTTGCAGAAATGATTCATCTGATGGACAGCTCTAAATCATGGATGTTGGCAGCATGCTTGATAAAATGCATGGACTCAGTGTGGTCGCTGTCTGTCTCCTTGGGGATACAACATGAAGATGCATTTGCCGGAATATGAGCTGAGAGCGTAAACATGATTGTAACTGTCTTTCATCAGGCTTGAAAATGAACAACCAAAGAATGTAGCTACCATTCTTGTTCTGATATGTGGGTGAATCAACTTACACCTTGTGTGCTAGTGCTATACCAAGGATCAAGTGGAATTCGCTAAATCAGCGACATACCCTATGCTTCGAGCCAACCTCGGTAATTCTTTTTCTGAGAGCATATCTGATCACAAAGTATTCAAGATAAACGTCGTTTTCTTAATTGAATGCTCTTATGAATGTCTATATTTCATGTTGTTGAAAAAAAAAAAATGCATATAACAACTCTCATCTTAGCCAAGACAGAATGAGAATCTGCAATGAACAGGTAGTTAGTTGTACGAACTACAGAGCACGCATCCCCTTTGTAACTATCAGCTAGCCACAGCATGGATAATTTACATGTCATGGGTTTGTATCAAACTGCACACAATCGTATAACTAATTACCACACTCTTGACTGGTGGTGCCTGATACCAATACGAGTTGTCCAAATCTCCCGAAGCGCTGTCTTGTAAGTTGTTGTAAGGGACTACTGCAATGTTCAATTTTGTGCATGCGCACCAATGGCAATTCTCTTTGCCCCCATTCTAGTAATTCGTAAAGCCTTGCTCACAAGTCTCCCCAACTACGAGCATAGATCCAAGCCACAACTTTCATTTCCTTCTCCCAAAACAATAGAGAGCAGAAAGACAATGCGATACAGGATCCGGCAGGGGTGGTCCGACGGCGACGGCTCCGTTGATCCCGGGCTCGTTTCCACCCCGGCCGGTCTCTTCCTTTTTCTGCCAGGGGGCGGAACTGGTCGATGCTTTGGCCCTGCCTAGACTATACTACTAGGTGCCTATATGTGAGCTCTATAATCGTATGTCTTTCGATAAGTAAGCAATCGGGATACTTGTTCGCAATTGGTCGTGTATGGCATCAAATGAACACTTTCCGCCGTGGGGCAATGTTTGCGGGGAACGACATGTAGTAATTCCTCAGATGGAATAGCAAGGGGGGTTTCACTTGATCATACGATGGGGGAAAAGAAAAGGTGTCAGATTTGGGCAACCGCTTCAACTCGGACCAAAACATCAGTCCGTTCAAAGAAGGCAGAGAGTAGACGATGAAAAAGTTAAAGGCCGGCCGAAAGTGATGGTATCCCCAAAAACGACATCATCCCACGTGGACTGCTGCAAATCCTGGTCTGCCCGTCTGCAAGGCAAGGACCCCACGAGCAGTTGCCAGAAACACCATTTCTCTTGTATATACAATGCAACTATAATTGTACATTTTTTCTTTTTAAAAGTCGGATTACGTAGGGATGCGAGTGCCGAGCGGCGTCGGTACTCGTGGCACTTTGCCGCACTGCTATGATGCGGCACGTACAAGCATGTAAGAGTATGCATGCATGCATCGCCGGAGAGGCCGCAGAACCCTTGAAGCGTCAGCAGCAGCCCTGCCATATTTCTTCCAAATCGTATCAGTACGTTGCAGTTTTGGAGGGGGCTTATCCCACCCCCTTCCAGACTTGTATCAAATATCGCTTCAGTCTCAATGCCCAATGATGTAGAACACGTGCTTTTGTCTTTGTAGAAAATTGGTCCTTTTTGCTCCGAGTTGGTAATATGTGGCATTGTGTGGGGGAAATGAAAGTGGTAAGCAAAACAAATCATCGGTAATCCAATGCTGAGGCATCAATTACTGTCATCATCTGCTCTTGAGACTGAGGACTCTGTCGGTGTATCTACGATGTAGACAATGATCTCCGGCGGTTCGATGAAATTGTCCGGCGGCAATTTCGCCGCATCAGCTCCTCGCGTAAGGGAAAGAGAATATTGCCGTCTCTGCTGAGTATTACTTACTCCTTGGGGGGCGGTTTTTGGGGGGGTACGCTCTTCTTTTACAAGAGAAAGACCAATGGCGACGGGGACTTTTTGCTGACCACGTCTAACAAGTCAGATTTGCTAAAGGCTTCGATCTTCGATCACTGTCTTGCCCTTTTGCCTTGTCCACCACCTTCTTTTGGCAATGCACTTACTCTGGGCAATGGATAAATAGAGCTATCCCTGCACCCTCTTGTTAGTTACGCGAAAGGCCCGGCCCGTACATGTATAATCACGTAACCAGCCTATTTAGCCGGGAAGAAGGCCGCAAGGTAGATGATCAAGACTTGAGAGCGAGAGCCCGCGGTGAGAAAAAAAGCTTCGGCAAGGGTCCGAGGCTATGATTCTTTCGGCATTGTATCAAAGACACATGTTGATGCGCAACTCTGCTTTGGGATGAGTGTAGATATGGGCAGGGGGGGGGGGGGGGGGGGACCCGGTCACATCTCAGATTGCTCAGCAAAACCGCCAAGATGCAGGCCATGTATCCCGTTTCACGGATATGGTAACGGGTAACCGTGGCCTTGGATTCCGGGCGTGGGGGTTGCCTGGTGCTTATAGATGGGGTGATGGATGCCCTTGTGCATTTGGAAGCAGGTCTGACGCTCGTTTGGGATATAGGTGGAAGGTAGCAATGCCGTGGTGGTGTTCGTGATGACGATGGTGGTTGAGAAATGATGGTCTGGCGGGCAGAGCGGAAATGACAGCTAGAAGATGTGACGCGGATGCCGTTACGGAACTGTCATGGCCGGATTGGTGTCTTGTGAGTGCTGCGTGATGATTGGCATCTGTGTCGTGTAGTTGCCTCGTTTGTGTCGATATAGATGTCTGCCAGCTGATACCAGCCATGGTGCGTAATCAGTCTGTAAGACATAGAATAGCCTTGAATAGTGAAGAGAGGCTTGAGTGAATTGAGCCGACTGAGCTCAGCAGAGTTGCTGCTGCTACCCAAAATCAGCTCTGACGACAACTCGTATAGTTATCCATATAGACGCCTTTCCAAGATCATTATGCCACGGCACAACTCGATAATCGAGCACAACTGCTCCCGTCAAAGTTTCCATCTTCTAATCAATCTTGAACAGTTTTCGTTTCAAAACTCTCAAACTGACACCAGGTTTCCCCAGGTTATGACGACATTCGATGCGCAAAGCTCTCCATTTGTGCAACGCGATACTTGTCCCAGGCGCACGGTAATGCTACCATGTTCTCCAGCATCATGGTGCCAAGGGGAACAACGTTTTTATCGAACCACTGGAGTGGTTTGGAAGTGGTGCCCTTGCTGTTTAAATATAGACATCGCCAATCTGCTGCAACGCTGGTTTATGGAGAAGCCCAACTGAGATGAGTCTTTACTTTCAACTGTCATTTGGCCACGGCGAGTTTAGATTTGTGACTTTGAAGTAAACTAATCACATGGCGGGCGATTGAGCGGCGATTGAGCTTTTGGCAGCAGTGTTGAATACCTTATTCAATATTCCGTCTTGGCTGCCGTCTTTTTCTCTCTAGTAAAAAGCAAAGGAGCAGTCTTTGTTGCATTGACCCCCTAATAATACAACTCTGCTTTACAACCCCAAAGTATACGGATACATACAATGCAAATACCTACTCAGCATTGTAGACGGTCCGACAGCCGTGCTGTCAAGCGGGTACGCTATCCTCCACCAGACGGAAATGGCAAACCATCGTCGGACCGCCTCTCGGCTGCGCCTTGGCGCTACTTGAAACGTGATGATCGCCACGACCCAGTAATCAACCTCATATCAACATCTCGTATCTCCAAAGCTGCTGCCTTCCATCACAGACTCCACTGCCTTTACGGTCGACCGAACCAACCCACAACAGGGAAAGGCTTAGGAAGCGGGAGATGGAGAGCAGCGAGTCGAGGTAAAAAATACCAGGCCGAAGCCAGATCCTTGTCGGGCCGATCATGGCAGCATGACAAAGGAGAAGAGGCGAAAAAAAAAAAAACACAAATGTCAAGCACTGACAGGATAAAAGTATTTCTCCCGCCTAGGAGGTGTCCTCCTCCGCGGATGTCCGGCTCCTTGGCTGATTGGCAGTATAGGGGCGTCTAAAGTGAAGCATTGCTTGGTTGCCAGGTTCAAAACTGTTCACATGATGGAAAGCCCTTCGGATCGAGGACGCAGTGCTCTCGCTTAAGTCTCACCTTTTGGGGGGCGCCGCTGCATAATAGAAGTCTTCTCGAAAAAAAGCAACAGGGCCAAAGCAGCCTGACCAGCCCCCCCCCAGTCCAGCCAAATCGCAGAATGCCTGGCTTGCACATGGGAAAGTTACCACCTCCCGACTGCCGAGTCGTGAAGCCGAGTCATATGCCAGGCATGGCTTGAACTGTGAAAGCCACCCTTTCCAATTCCGGTTCCGCCAGCACAAAAGCCAGGATGCGAGGTTATACCCAGGATGGTATGTCGATACGTGACGTGCTCGAATTTGGCCGCCACCCGAGACTGGCAGCCCGCCGCCACTCATCCACGTCTCGTGTTTTCTGGTACGATGCTTTCTTTCTCGCCATCAGGAGAATCGTGGTTTCTGGTCACCTTTCGATGGGTTGAAGGCTCCCAACAACGTGCCGCAGAACAAGCATACTGATAAGGGCAGAACTGGACAAACTGATTCGCTGCGGAGGATGCAGATGCTGGGCGGCGATTCCGAATGAGCTGGGCAGGTCTCTGAGCGGCCCATAAAAGCACTTTGAACAGGGCCGAACGACTGGGGCGCTTCTTGTCATGGCGGAACTCCAAACCATGTAAGCCCAGGGTCGACGTGTGAAGAGTCAGGGATAAGTTGAGCCTATTATTCTTTTTTTTAATTATTATTTTCTTTTTTTCTGAGAAAAAAGAAAAAGAAAAAGCAATTTTCATTTTATCGATTTTCGTCCCAACCAGCGCCCCAGAGCCCACAGCCCACCGTTTCGGACCGTCTCATTCGAGTTAATATAACCAACCAATGCTTCGGCGTAGAAAATATCAACACGTCTCGTTTTAGGTCGTCTTTTGTCGACGTTAGCCCATAACAACACCTAGTTGCAATGATCTTCGAGCGCCAGGACGCCACACCCGCGTGGCTCGATGCTAGAGCCTGTCACTCTGCAAATCTCGGCCAATCATCAACTCGCCTCCAATTGACAAATTCCGTTTTCTGCAACCGTTACGGGTGAGATGAAATCGCCGACGGCAAAGGATAATGTGAATAAACAATTTAAAAAAATAAAAATGATGATAGAAAAAATATACATACCCATGGAATAAAATTAAGGAATCCTCAGTGGACCGCTAAAGAAAAATCTGCAGGCCGAGGCCAAGGTGACGGACCCTGGACTGATCACCACGTTTTTCCAAAAGTGCCTCCTTTTAGCACGCCGGAAGGCATCCGGTGGCCGGGGTCGCACAAGCCCATGCTGAATCTTGGCCTCGAAGGCCTTGTGACCTGGCAGCGATCTGGCTGTACCAGCATGGAATCCGTCTTCCCTTTTCTGGCAGGTTTAACGTTACGTGGGAATCTGATCGATGACACTAACCCGTCCACAGAGCATGTCCCCGGCCTGCCTCGTGCCATTGGCTAGAAAGGCGCTGGACGGAAAAATAGACTGGTTATGCCATGTGCATTAGCATGGCACTATTGTTACATGCGAGCTTGTTGTGCTTACTCGGAGGCTTTTCACAGACTTGTCGCCAACATCACTGATACTCACTGCTGTAAGTTGGTGAACAGCATAGGAGTATCTATTGCGTATGGTTGATCTCCAATCTCGTTTCCAAGACGCATGGCCCCCCGGGGCTTGAAGCATGAAACGAACGACAAAAAGAGGAAATAATGGCGCCCGAGAAAGTGCTTGCAGCAGCGGTAGGATAGCCAGATGAGCCATGCGTCTGGCAGTCGCCTCGGATATCGACATGCCTTCTCATTGGACCACAAGGGGAGCCCAGGCAAAAGCGGATAGCCTGTGAGCTTGACAGCTGCAGCCCATGGAGCTGATGGGGGACTGCACCGAACAAGGCTGAATTGCAAATTGGCTTTTGGTCCCTGATCGTCCTCCCCAAGTGGATGCCTTGGCCTGGAGCCCCATCTCAACGTTGCCATTCAAGGCCTGTTAAATTGATGCCTAATTGTGCGGAAGGCGTCGGTATCGTAAAGTGCAATGAGCATAGGCTTGCATAATACCCACGTATATGTAATCGCTGAGTCTCCATTGGTTTGATACAGCGAGATCCTCCTTCAAGGTGATCAGGCCGTTGTTGCCGTACACCACAGCCGCACCTCCACGAAAACACTTGTATAATACGCCCAGATGTATTATGGATTTTTTGTCTTGTTCCGGCAGTCTTCTCGAAAGTCCTGCCACGGAATTCTGCCGGGTTCTGATTCCTTCAACGTCTTGGTGGACTCCTGCTTGTCACTAGAGGCACTTGCGGATGTAGATGCAGACGAGAGACTTATTTTCTCCCGACTGTCTTGGCTGAAAGCGAGCACTTGATAGATTCCACGAATCCAAGTTTGCAGCTGTATTCGATGTAAGGGGCATACTTGTCCGTGAAAACCCGAGTGACGGCGAGAATAATCCCTTACATCCACCCCCCCATTGATTTTTTGGAATCGGTCCTTGTGGAAGATACGCTCACGATTTGGCATCCGCACATTGTTCCCACTGTTTTGTTACGATGAGTTATCCCAAGATGTCCATTGGAATCACTGAATTATCGGCGAGAAATGTAGCTTGGCGAGAGTATCTCGGCCTCACTCGCAACATATCCACACACAAAGGGCTGCCGCCAATGCATATAAGCACGGCACTAGCGGTCGATCCTCTGGATCAGGAAAGCCAACTTTGCATCTGAGACGGCTTGTCGCACTCTGCTGATCTTCTAGAACCAAATTGTCAGCTCGTGGATGTGATCTGCGTGAGTATCTCGAGAAACGGCCGTTTTACACTGCAACTTTGCTTTCACGTATCCGTATAGATGGTGTAAATGCAACCAAAGAACCATGTGAGTAAAGAGACCAGGCGAAGAACACGTGCATCCAGGGATTGACCATCTCCCGTATTCCTTCTGACAAGATACTAATCTAAAGGCACTTTGCCTGTACGAGCCACCCTACCTTATCCAAAACGGTTCGGCGATTTTGCGGGGGAACGAAGATCGCGACCAAAGCTGCCTAGTCCCGGGCTGCTAGCCACAAGTCAAGAAGCTGTTGGTCGCCGTTTAAAAAGAATAAAAAACGTGGGAGACGGGGCAAAGACGCAATGAAACGTGCCTTTAGGCCCGCTCTTCTAGAAAGCTTGTCACGGCTTGGGGTAGCTGCCCGTGTGTAGGTACTTCAAGTTGTTTTGTAAGGGAAAGATAAGAATGGGAACGTGCTTTTCCCCCTTTGCTGGAAACCTGGAGAGAATGCGCCACTGCAGCTGCCACCAGATCAGGTCATCAACAAGCAATGCCACACTTGCCTGTCTAGATTTGGAATACACGAGGCTTCAAACAATGGACACTGAATGCGCCTCTCACGAGGGTCGCAAGTCGGAGAAAACCCCAGCCACCAATAAGCTGCAGCGCCTCGTCTGACCCCCAGCGGGTACATGCCCCATGTACACACTTTCCATCCAACAAACAACAAAACGGTCAAACCGAATCCAGTCGCTTCTCGTGCCATCTGTTTCCCCTTTCGGGCCTGCTCGGTGTTCCCATTCTTTTCTTTTCTCCTCCACGGCCTGATGCGTATCGGCAAGTATGTGCTTAAACTAGAAAATTCCATCCTCCACACCTCCCTCCCAAAGAGCTTGACTGTTCTCGCTTTTTGAGACCGGGAGGATCATTATCGGTTCCAAATTCTTTCCCCACGGAGATTGAAATGTGTTTTTTTTTTTTGTCTCCGGCCTTCACTTTGCGCGGGGGGCCAACGGACTTGTCGCGGGATCAGCAGGGTCGCATGAAATAGCCGTAATCGTATGTATAATCGGGGAGAAGGATAACAATAAACGCAAGGATCTCGGGCATACACGCCCCCCCCCTCTTCAAGTAAAAACACCCCCAAAGCCAAACACATCATGGGGAACTTACAAAAAAGATTGAGAAAGCGAAAACAGCAAGAGCACAATGCATTCACTTTGGGGGCAAGGGGACCCGATGGATGCCAGATTTAGATTGCGCCAGTAGCGAGGTAGATGTCTCTGAAGCACGAAGCACCTTTTTTCGAGCTGTCACATTTTCCAAATCCGATTCTGGGTTGCCGTTGCATTTAGCCGGTAAATATTTGTTCTTTTTTAGGTTAAAATAAAATATTTGTTCTTCTCTTTATTCCCTTTTCTAGCTCGTCACCGTTGTTCTTTTTTTATTTTCCACCTTATTCTCCGCCTCGCTTCGTGTAGCCGCGATTCAAAAGACGTACGTAATACGCCGGCCAGCGTCGACGTCGTCTGGAGGCCGCTCTGCCCCTATTCTTTCTCCCGGGTGATGTATGTGACATTTCTCATTATGAATCCAACAAAAGGCATGCAGCATTTCCCCGGACTGTCAAGTATTTTAGATTTCACGTAATGGATACTCCTTTTGCCCTCGATCTTGGCGCCAGGGGTTGCAGACGTGGAGAGGAGCATCACAAGTTTACAACCGAGACTTCATCAAGAGAAGCAGAAAAAGGTGCAAAGAGTCTTATAGGAGCATTCCATACGAGATGGTATTGTAATAGTCAAGAATACATCTAGTAAACTGCGTAATGTAAACTGACCACTCAAACACCCCCTAATCTTTCTTCGTTGCCGCAGATGTTCCAATTCTCTTATACTTCCTCGGATCCTTCTTCCTCATTGTAATCTTGTCTCTGTTTCCCTTACCCCCTTCCCAGAACCCCTTACCTCTCCTGCCAATCACACTACGACCGCAGAAACGACACGCTTCAACGGCGTAGTTTTGCTCGCGGCTGCAAAACCCACAAATCATCCGGTTGGCCCACTCGTTGATATGATCCTCGGCCTGATCGTGGCACTTGTCACACCTGTACACGCGGTTACAGCATGAGAAACGGAACCACCGATACGACTTGCGGTAGTGGGTACAGGCGCCCCGCTCCGGGAGCTGGTCTCCGGCGTGGAGCCCGAGTTTCTCTTGCTTGCGCCGCATGCCGGCCGCGGGCGGGGGCAGCGATCCCGGCGAGACATAGAGGAACTTGACTTCGGGGATTTTGAAGGTGAACTTGCTGTGGCACTCGCGGCAGACGTTGGCCGTGGTCTCGCCCCTGACGGACACGAGGCCTTGGCTAGGGGTTGAGCACTTGGCGCACGTAGGCACAAAAGTACTGGGCAGCATATCTGCTACCTTGCATCCAGATAGATCAATGAAGCCGGCTCTTGCTGAATTCTCATGGACGAGCTGCTGGTTAAACTTGGCGGAGAGAGACGTCGCGCATTTCTTGCAGCTAGTCGCCTTTTCGACCGACGGCTTGAGTCCCGTGATGTCATTCAACGTTTTGCACCGCTCGCACTTGACGCTGAGGCTTAGAAGCGAAATCTGTAAAAGCTCAATGCTGTGAAGTTCGACATTTGGAAACGATATCATGGTGCCGTGTTCAACCTCATCAGCAGATGGTGGTGCTCTCACATCATCACCTTCGCCCCCTAATACCGCTCCTCCATCATCTGCGTCATCCGAGTCAGAGTAGCTGTCCTCTACATCATCATCTTCATAGCCGACATTCCACTCAGGGGGCCGAGCAATGACCTGAATGTGGCCCTTGTCCTTGCTGAATGGCTGTGGCAAGCTAGTTGAATCCTCAGGCCTCTGTGGCTGCTTTCCTTTCGCCGCGGCCATGGCTTCTGCTGCTGCTGCTGCTGTAGCGGCGGCTGCCTTTTCCTTGTCAGCCTTTGCCGCTAGAGCATGCGCCTGTTTAGCTAGATTGTGAAGGTTTTGAGCCAAGTAGTTCACATGGCTCATGAGAGTCATTTGCTTCTGCTCCGCAGCTTTTTCTGCAAACAAATCTTCTATTGGTTCTGCATCTTCAGCATTCGCTTCGTTAAGCTGAACGCGCAGCTGCTGTAGCGGATACAAGAGCGGGATGATCAAGTGGATGCTGTTGACTGAGTGCAGTCCAGAGGGGAGCTCAGTACGGCGCTTTGGCTCGATTGGCAGCGTAAAGATGACACCATCTCCAGATCGACGAAACTGGGCCATTCTTCCCATTCTCGCCTCAAGCTGGCGGATCTCTTGAGCTCGCCTGGCCTTTGCCTCGGTGATTTGCTCTCTGGTATATGACGGTTCCGGGATATAGCGTCTCGGGGGAGGTGTAGGAACAGGAGAGATAACCTTTTCCGCAAAGGGAGACTCGGCAGCAATGGAAGCTTGAAGTCCTGCTGCTTGGTCGAGATGTCTCGTGTCCCTGAACGACACGAGCTTAATCGTTTCCACCTTTTGCTCCGACAGAAATCGTTCCAGGTTCCTGTCTAGAGCATACACCAGGGCTAACAGAGTTGAGCCCTTCTTCTCCTCAGCTAGCCTATCCCAGCCTCTCTCAATATTGATGCTGAACCCTTTGGGGATATCTGTATTCCTGACTAGTAGTACCGGCCTTTCCTCCGGATACTCTTCTGGAACGCGGACATCACAGCTCAAGTAAGGCAGTTCAAAGGGGAAGTCTGGGTCCGAAGGTTTAAGCTTGAACACCAGCGATGTATCTCCCTCTAAAGTTGTAGACTCCTTGGGTGAGAATCTCCTCTTGAGCTGATCAATCTGAAAACCGCGCGGGTCCTGGACCTGAGCTTCGGGCACAGGTTTGGGGACGACTCGCGCACTAGAGGCACTGGGTACGGCTTGTTTGCGGTCCAGAGGGGAGCCATCTGGCTGCTTTTTGAGTGAAATCATGATGACGGGTCGGAATAAACGAATCCAATATGCGTACGTTGATAGCTGGCGAAAGAAAAAAACCACGGATATAACGGATAATTGTACAGACGATAGGAAATCAGAATGAGAAAAGGAAAGCCACGACGCCAAAGAACAAACAATAGAAACGAAATGAAGCTCCAAAGCTCTGCTCTGCGATTATAGTTGATGAGGAAAAATTGAAAAAAAAACGTTCATGAGCTCTCGTTTTAAGCTGCTCTTAGGAGGCGAAGAGGCGATATCAAGAGCTCAGGTGGGGCTGCTGAAGAGTGCTGTAGCTGGAGTTTGGAGCAAAAAAAGGTTAGTGGGGATCTTTGGATCAATGACAGCCTCCCTGGATGAGTCACTGGCTGTGGTGAGTAATAGCGATTACTAGTACTGCACTAACAGTATTAAGCAGATTACAGGGCTATACTTGATAGTGATGTACCTAAATACTATGGCCAGGATTTCCCTATTTAGACCTGTTCATTTCGAGAAGCACGGCGACAAGTTTTTAGCATCATAAAGTCTGTAGTCATCCCAAAGTGAGTCACTTAAACCCTAACTCTTTGAAGTAACTATCCCCTTTTGGTTGGCGATTTGATACTGTTGCTGTTACTGTTGGGCGGCGAAAGGTGCTATGCCCATGTAGTATGGGCATGTTTTATACTGAGCATCCTGCACGTACCTGCTTACATGTACTTTGCATTCGCTCGAATAGGCACAAGTACTTGTCCTGATTAAACACGGGGAAGACACCCAGGTTGAGCATCTCATCAGTCGATCACTGTTTATCATGGCGAAATAGGAAGGCGTCTTGGGGTATTGCGTCCATGACAAATTGGGCTGGTAACTCAGCCTGGCCTGTCAACTACCAGTAGACTGTAATCATGCAACATCTCCTCCTCTGTGGGATTCTGAGCAGTGTAATTGGTAATTAATTTGCGGGTAAGAATGAGTTGTCTGGCTTTCGGTTGGTTCATTTCAGAGCCGTACATGTACCCGTCGCGTGATTCCTGATCTCTGTTCGTATTGATGGGGGCACAAGTATGTAGGTACCTATGTAGACTAACAACGTCGAATACAGAATCCAGGCTGGGGACCTCTTGGAAAAGGGCGTTATTTGACGATGTGCTTGTTATCCAATACTGCAAAACGAACTTTGGACAATCATCAAATTAATTTGAAATATTTTGAAAGATTACTAAAAAAAAAGGCAGAGTACCTAGTGCCCAATGACTTTTCCATATGCTCGGGGTGCTGATAATAACTGCAGTGAAGTGGTGCTTCTCCGTCCTGCGAGACATCTCAACCGCCCTGACAAGATAAAAGATGGAAATCAATTTTTATTTTATTTTTTTATTTTATTAATATTCATTTGCCATTATTTTTCTGCTCCTTCTTCTGCTCGTTTATCCGGGGAAGAAAAGGCAATGATCCTATTTGCCTGATGATGGCCTTTTCAATGGAATGGAATGACTTTTTTTCGCAGAAAAGCTGTCTGGTGGACACATGCAGCTGCGCCGCCGTCTATTATGCATGCATGCCTACCTATCTGAACACCTGGGTGGTCTTAAACTTTGGGAATGGGAGAAGAGAAAAAAGGAGGCAACCAGGATGCGGAGTGAAAAAAAAAAAAGAGGAAAACTCTGATGCAGCCTGAATCGAGACAATATGGAGACTGTTTTTCGTGGGCAGATATCAAGGGTCGCTGCATCACGCTGGCCTGTATGTGCCTGTGCAGCAGCGCCATGCCACGTCCAGACGCAGCGCCCGGCAGTGCGACCCGTGGAGGTGCTCAGAAGCAGTCTTTGTCAGAGAAATACAAACCCTATACATGGAGATAGTCACAGAGCAAAGTAGAGTTTGCTGTTGGCCAGGGCTCAGTTGCCGCATGGCTGCTCGTCGTGATCAGACTCGCAACTCACACGCAACTTACACGCCCCCGTTTGGAGCCCCCGGATGACCAGCGCGTATCCGCGAGACAGAAGCCCTAAAGAGGAGGCACCTTGGTGGTACCAGCAGAACTAGCAATACTGTACCTAGTGCTAGGTGGTGCCATCACAGTTAGGTACAGTCTGTGAGGAGTAGATGCGTGGATGCAGGTAATGGCCGGTACGGGACGAAGCAAGGAGTGTCTATCTGAGGTACAGCACTCGCACCCAATGGACGTGCTCCGTACTTGGACATTTTCGCATTTGATCCGGTCTGTCATTGATGCCCTTGTGCTCCATAGTACTAGATGATACCACAATCTGTTGGTTGAAAAGGGCATCCTCGTGGTGCTACGAGCAGCGCACATGGGACGATGCAATGGCTCTCGAAGGAGTGGACGGACGGAGAAAACAACCAACAATGCTCGATCGCGGAGTAATTTCTGCTTCTCGTCTGCTTTGCCTTGCTCTGCATAAAAAAGGCAACATGCACACAATCCACAGCGGAGGGATTGGACAGCTGGACGGCGGTGGAGGTCTGCCAGCTCAGCATTTCCCAGGCAGATGACCTGCGAGGTGCGGCATGGCGGCTGCATCAGCGCCTGGGGGCGGTGAGAGGCGGTGCGAGTGTGGCAGGCAGGACTTGGTCTTTTGTTCTTTGTTTTTCTTTTTATTTTCAAAATTTAATTAATTTTTTATTTATTTATTCACAGCTGCATGCCATCAACCCCTGCAACACACGCCTGAGCTGAGAGCAGAAAGAGGAGGCCGCAGCACGGCCAAATTGGGCAACCGTTGCAAGCACAGAGTCGACACAGCAGCGCAAAAGTCGATTGCTTGAAGCATCCGGTGGAGCCTCGACACCACCTCCCATGCAGCTTAATATAAGAATAGATTATTCACGGCCGAGAAAAAATACAAAGATATTCTTGATTTTTTATTTTTTCCAAATACCTACTCAGCACCACCCCACTGCAACCTCCGCTACCCCTGCTCCCTCTTTTTTTTTTTTTTCCCCGGCGCCGCTTGGGTATCGACAAGAGGCTGCAAGGCTGCTTCAACTCATGCTTGTCTCCTCTCTCACATGTCCACAGTAACAAATGCTGTGCTGGACGGGCATGTCGACCCTACTGGACTAGACTCATGGATAGGTACCTCTTTCAATGCCCTACCCGTGTACCTCGCCTCCCACAGATCAATGTAGAGCAACATGTCCAGCTTGCTCTTGTTTGTACTCTAGCTGCTTAGGGCACTCTTCTTCCCCCGTCTTGACAATCCTTGGACAATCAGGCTCCTCCGGCTCTGCTTTCCGCTGGATTGTGGCTGTTGCTTTCTCTTCTTTACCCAGCAGAGCTGGAAGGGTGTATCTATATGGGCAAATCTCAGCATGAGCGTGAGCAGCCATTTCAGCCCTCCATTGACGCTGGATGGCTATACCGTAGGAATCTCCGAAGGCCGCTCGTGTATATCTCGTGCCCCTGTTCATCACGTTTGCTTTTGCCTCTTCTCCTTCTTCTCGTAAATCGAGGCATCGACCATGGCCAATTGTGTGTACATTCATTGTTTCCCGCCTTTTCCCCGCAATAGCGTTTCAACGCGGCCATCTCCCACATCAAGCGTCAAAACGGCCGGTGGCTGAAATCACAGGCCAAAGCGCGCCAGGCCATCTGACGGTTTGCTCGCTCGACTCTCGCCATGCAGGACGGAGCATGTGTCCTCGGCCACCTGAAGGGCTGCATGCTAATGTATGTGCGTACGTCTGTATTCCCTCACACATACGCAGACTGCTGGACAGCACAGGCACTTACATGTACACTCTTACTTACACACACACACCTCTCTCTGTTCGTACGCGCAATGCTTGGGCGTCAGCTATCTGATGTTATCCGCATGTGCTCCGCACACCAATACTGCTGCTTAGAGTATAAGCAATATAAGCTGCGGGCTAGCAATTCAGGTCGCCAATGCTCACGGCCCTCTGTACTGTCGTGTGCATGTAGCCATCACCACCTACCTTATACATACTTGCAGCGCTCCGTTTCAATGCCCTGTTGGGCGTTTGTATCTACCATGTAACCCAATACAGCTGCAGCATAACAGGTTCCGTCATCTCAGGGTGGCAATCATATCAGCACGAGCCGTATCATCGTCTGCCCAGATGCTTACCGGGCCAGCCATCACTTCAATCCCTCGTCATCGCTGCAGCATCCATCTCTTACTCTTCCCCGGGCGAACGAATGACGTACCGAATAGGACGAATCAGTCAGTCATCCTAGGGTTACATACAAAGAAGCTGTCCAAACTATTGAATGTAGTGCTACGGCAGTACCCGCCTCTCGCTAATAATAAATTCGTATCTTGGACGGAAGACGATGGCGCCAGAAGCCCGTCTCTGACTGGCTCGCCGTTTTGTACTCTCCTCGCAAAACGGTCAAAGCTCACACTCTGTAACCTCATTCGACGAGCGCCTCAAGCCACTTACACGGGCACGTCTCACGAATCTGGCATAGGTTGCTTGCTCTCCATTCATTGTCAAGGCTATCCTTGTAAACAAAGGCTCAGAGGCGTGAAATACCAGATTGAATCAGGAAAAGGGAATTGCGTCTGTGCGGCACCAAATCGGGATGAGAGCGTCGTCCACGTTTCGCAAGCGAGCTCGAATGAAATTGCACGGGATGCCGTGCAATGTGATGGGCGCCGACCGGTGTGATAACATACTGAAGCGCTTTTGTCTTACCACCACCGCCATCTATTCCAGCCCGCATGCTGTGTACATCGAATTCGCCCGAGACGTCATGTGTACATATGCATTCGTACCACCTCGTTCCTCACCGACTGGAGACTGCGCCTCCGTTTTAGGAATAGGTACATGGTATTGTAAAACAGATACTAATGCAACTTGCCTTGGCTTTTGCATGATTTTCCAAGTTGTTTGCTTACCGGTAGTATCAGCCGCAGCTGAAATCCTTTGCACGTGTGCCGAAAGTGAGCAAGGGGTAATATTAGACCGTGATTTTTTCCCATCGTTTCAGCTTCCCCTTGACAACGACTTACAAAAACAAGTATCCAAAGATATAGAATAGAAGATGCTTTTAAAAGGTATGTGATTATGTAAAATCCTAGACGGCAACAAGAGAGAGTATAATAGATGGCGAATGATACCAATGTATGGCAGATAATGGCAGGGAACTGTACATGTGCTAGGACGCGGCAAGAAGAGTGCAGCGTACGGAGGGGACACAGCAGTGATACTGTAACCACTTCAAAAGAGCAAGGGTCTTCTTCAAATAGAGATATTCTGCATGTTTGCTTTAGAAAATGGCTTGGTTAGCGCATAATGTCTTATACATCCAGCGTTCCATTCGGGGGGCCAGGAATTCGGCCCCGAGCGGGCCCAAAGTGCTACAAATTCAACATTGGGCGTTAATAGCCTTTGTATTTGAATAAAAATGAATAATTAAATGTTAATTATTATATATTTATTCGCTAAAAAAATAAATCTATCATGCTTGCATTCTGTGTAGTGCAACGTAATAAACGGCGAGTTCGGGGACCAAGGAGTACCCGAGTATTGTTGCTACGATAAAATAAAACTCATTGTTTAAAAGGGAAGTAAAGCTTTCTTCTATTGGAAACTATGTCTGTATACTAACGACACTTTCAAGTTAAAGGAATATATGCGGAGATTGGAAGGTTTTGAAGAAGTAGAAGAAGTAGAAGAAGTAGAAGAAGTAGAAGAAGTAGAAGAAGTAGAAGAAGTAGAAGAAGTAGAAGAAGTAGAAGAAGTAGAAGAAGTAGAAGAAGTAAAAGGAAGAAAAGCCTGCTCTTTCACGAAGTAGCTTTGCTTGCCCCCGTGAACGCTTCTAGTGGGCATCTATTTTAGATAGCTTTCATCGGATCCAGTCACTGAAGCTGAGGCTGAATACAGTATTTTATTGAACAGACCTTCGCGGCTTATATTGAACCTATATATCTACACCAAACACTTACACCTTTGTTTCATCTAGTGCTTCGCTAGTTGAATGTTGCCTCTGTTTGAGATCCGAGGCGCGCTCAAAGTGGTATTCAGCCTGTTGATGGAATGGTTCCAAATGCACGGTAGGCAAGGGCCAGAATATCCAGATAGCACGCCATATTTCCCGTGAAGATTGTACAACGACTTTTGCATAGAAATTGTCTCGAAAATATTGCCATTCCTGGCCATCTGGTGCCCAGCATGCCCTCTCCACAAGTTTAGCAAAGTATAATGGAATAATTATCAGCGGTAAAAAGAATGGAATTGACAGCGCAAAAGGACCTAAAGCGAGCACATACGTTAGTTTTAGCCAACATCACATCAAGAATACGTGAAGAGTACCGTACATATAAGTCCCAAATACATATTCTTTAGCCAGAGCTGGCCCCAGCACATAAGGCAGAACGTTGCTAGAATCGGCCGTTTGGAATAGAAATCGTAAGGTATTATAAGTGGAAGCGAGCTGATAATTACCAGCTGCAAGAAGGAACCTTCACAAGGTGGTCTGAAGGTGAGGTACATGGTTATGTGTGAAAACCAATTCCAAATGAGACGCAATATATAAAAAAACCGGAGAGGCTTGGAATTGAGAGAGTGGGAGTTGGTTTGGATTTCCTGCGGCACAAAGGTGAGGCGAGAAACCGTTTGGTATTGGAAAATTGCCCATGCTATGCTTCCAACGACAAGTAGAATGTCGGATAAACCAGACAGTAAAGAACCCAACAGAATCACAATGTGTGGTTGATAGAATTCGAGATTGAGGTAGCTTGCGATTTGGGCTAGATGGAGCCAGTTTAAGATTTCGGCTAGGAGGGCATTGGTGATGTTGAGATCGATGTAGTTAGATATTATGGCTAGGAAAACGTTGTTGGTGTTGCCCACGGTAGAATTTGGTAATTCGGCCATGAATGTGCCGTTGGTAATTTGTACAGAGTCCATATCGATAGTGATGGCTGGTCTCTGTTGGGATTGAATAATGTAGCTGGTTAATCCGCGATTGAAGAGATGGGGCTGGTATGTTGGGGATGGATGGAGTACCTGGGAAGGGCGAGATGTATAAATGTTTTGGTAGAGTGCCACGCGGATTCGGCCAGTTTGGCCATAAAGGCCGGATCATCCAGGTCACTTAATAAGGTTCAAGATAAATCTTCCACATTGAAGATAAAGTTCCTCGCCGATGGCGCCACACCGAAACGCTGGAGCAACAAAGAAGCCACCTATACGGAAACCAGCCTTGAGTTGCAGGTATAAAGGCCCCTCCTTGAAAGATGGATGAAATCTTTTTGAAGGCATTGTAGTATATGCTGTGCCACTATTATCCTGAAATTCAAGGAATGCAGCGCGGCACATTGGGGTGGCATACAGATCTTTGTCATATGCGATGACGGCAAGACCTTAAACTCACCGTTGTTCTCCCATTTGCTTACCTCCTTGAAGTGCTGCGAGGATGACGACTTGATTCAATGCCCCAATTCACCAGATGTGGACGAATCTTGAACAATATGGCAGAATCTCATACGTGAAAATGGCGAAACACATGAACGACGTCTTTTTATCCGAATCAGAGTATAGAGAGGATGATAGAAGGCGTCGGGAACAGTATGCGTCCCCCAACGTGAGAGTCGTATAAACCTATGATCTGCGACTTCAGGGGGCACATAGAGGGCCAAAACTACGGACAAGAATATAGAGGAAAGCTTCAAGCCATCTTAAACCACTTAGGCACCTAATGATAAAGCCCCAGTACAGTACATTCTGCCTGAACTGCCTGGTTGACAAAGTGTCCCTATATGGTCTGGCCTACCATGGTGGAATTCTCTATTTACAAGGACATTTTGTTCGGAGTTTGAGAAGTACATGGCGACAAACACTCCAATTAACACAGATAAAACATGAGCCCATATGAACTTTGTAGATTGATTTAGATTATCAGCTCGCGGTGATGAGCAAAGTAGTTTCTATTTGACCAACCATGCTTTTGATATAAAACCCCTTCTATGCTCAGACTGAAGCTCCTTAAAAATCGTTATCATCAGCGCCAGACACAATGACATTGTTAACCTTGAGAACCATTCGGCACAGCTGCGTCGCCAGTTGCAGCTGTTGCTTCTTGCTAATCAACGGATCAATGACAAAAGCGGACTTCATGTCGTTATCGCCACGTCCCATGCAGTCAACACCAAGCTTTCCTCTGTTCTCAGGGCCTGCCTTGACCTGCTGACTCTTCACCTCTGCCAGAGTTGAGATGGAGTTGAGACCGCTGTTCTCGGCCAGGGCCATGGGGACGGCATCCAGAGCCTCGGAAAAGGCGCGCATGGCATACTGTTCCAGACCAGGGGTCTTGCCTGCAGCGTCCTCTACTGCCAAGGAGCAGGCAATCTCTGCGGCACCACCTCCATATACGACTCGGTTGTCCTTTACCAAGTTTCTCACAACGCAGAGAGCATCGTGGAGAGAACGCTTAGCCTCGTCAATGATCTAAATATTCCATGTCAGCTGGTATTCGATCAAGCAAAGAGTTTTTTCATCATACCATCTTGTTGCTTCCTCGTACGAAAACGGTCACAGCTCGGGTGTTGGCGCACTCCTCGATAACCAGCATCTTCTCCCTTGTTGTTCCGAAAGACATTTCTCTGACAATGCCAGCAGAACCCAGCTTCTCAGGCTTCAGGTCCTCAAAGCGAGGCACTATCCTGCCATTGGTTGCAATGGCAATCAGCTCAATCTCAGGACCACCAACCCATCGAACAGCGGGGAGCTGGTTCTGGAGCAGCAGGTGGTTGGCCTCATCGTCGAAACCCCACTGGCAGATGGCCAGGTTGGCGCCGGTATCCTTGATCTGCTGAATCATTTCTATGAACTTGTCCTTCTCGTAGTTTTGTAGCTTCTTGAACTCTTCTACGCTTGTGATGTCGAGGTGGTGCTTGGTCTTGGGCTTAGGAGGCTCGAAAGCGCATGTCAAGATTGCAATCTTGGCATCCTTGACTTCTGAGGGCATCTGAGGGTGAGAAAAGTCCTTGTCGATAATCACACCCTTGACAAGGATAGTGTCCTCGAGAGCGCCACCGACCTTGCCGTCAACCTTGATCAGCTCAAAGTCCACATCCTTGCGCTCGAGATCAGCCACCGACAGAACTGCGTCAACGGCAATCTTGGCGAACTGGTCATGGGCCTTGGAGACAATCTTGCTTCCCAAACTCGTCCGTGCGACCTTGAGCAGGTTAGTAGTCTCCTCCTTTGTAAACTCGATCGTGTCTGAGATCTTGTCCAGCTCAGCAACAGCAATATCGCAGGCCTGGTCGTAGCCGTCGGCAATACGGATAGGGTGAATGCCCTTGTCGATGAGGTCGGCGGCCTGCTCCAAGAGGGCACCAGCGAGGACAACAACGCCCGTTGTGCCATCACCGATTTCCTCATCCTGTGATTTTGACAGCTCCACCAGCAGCTTGGCAACGTGGTTGCTGACATCCATCTGCTGAAGAATGGTGGCTCCATCGTTCGTGACCGTGATGTCGCCGTCCGGTGAGATTAGAATCTTGTCGAGACCGCGAGGACCGAGTGATGTCTTGACGATGTTGGCGACTGTTCGGGCAGCGAGGATATGTGACTTGACAGCTTCGTTGCCAAACTGGCGCTTCTTCTTCCCCTGACTAGACCGCTGTTAGACAGCAGGCAGCTGCACACGAGTTTCTGCAACTTACTCTCTGACAACAATGAAGGGCCGACCTTGCTCATCCTTCACCACCGCCGCTGCGCGCTGAATGTTAGCTGCGATTTCGTCGCCATAGACGGGTCTTCGGAGCCTTTACCGTTGGAAACATCTAGATCTAAAGTGCGTACTTGTTAGTTTGAATGCCCCTGACCATGGCCATCGTTTGATTCGTTCTCGACTTACTCAGCGACATCTTGGCTGGGGGAAACTTGTTGTCGAGTTTGTACAGACAAGTGAAATCAATCGGTCTCGGCACCAAAAAATAATTACCCCCTTGATTTGGTGACAGAGTATAGCTTCGAGCTTTCCACGATCGTGCCCGAATTTTTCGACCACTTGGGGGGAGTTGCCTACAACTCCCACTACAAAGGGTGCGGGACACGGACAAAGTAAAGTCCGCCTACCGGCACCCCGCCATATTATCAAGCTTCTGGAATTGCCCCTCCATGACTTAATCTGGCGGATGGAGCACAGTTGCCCCTCACGACCAGCGACTGTCTTGGAAGCTAAAGGAGCGCTGGGCTGCTCGCTGCACGGATTAAGGTTTTAGGCGTTCATTGTCGGGTATTTTTCTTTTCGTCTCTTTCAGTTTTGAGATTTATTTCCAACATTGGCTGAAGCTTGTATAACTATCGCAAGGCATAATTCTGATACTGCGCGGTGGCGGCTGTGGCAGCGTCTGCCTAATCGATGAATGAGTCAACCCCGAGTGTTCGTCATATAGAGCAGCTAGTCCCGGGAAAACGTTCGGCGCCGGCAGCCAGATCAACCTTTCAAATCCACCCACGAAGCTCGACACTGCACACATTCCTCTATAAACAAACTCGAACAAGCACTCGTATACGCCATCGCAATGGCGCCTCCGACCACGTATGACGACGATGACTTCGTCGACCAGTATGACGACATTGAGGAAGAGGACGAAATGAGTGCCGAGGACAAGGTTGCGATGCAGCAGGGGACCGCAGAAGTACAGAAAGCTCTTGGGACGGAAGCAAGCAAAGTCACAGTTGCGCAAATACAAGAGGCTCTATGGCATTACTACTACGACATCGATAAATCTGTCACCTACCTGACAAAGACCTTTATTGCGCCAGCTCCAAAAGCAGCTCCCAAACCAGCGCCGAAGAAGGCACCTGAAGGTAAGACTGGCGCGTTTCCCTTACCAACCAATCAAGCCCTGTTTTTGCGAACCTTTGAAGCAAACCGCGAATCGCCTGAGCACGATGCATACGCTGCAAACTTTTACGGCACTCCCATTCACACACTCATGTTTCCCATCATGGAGAAGCCTCGGATATCTCCAGCGTTCTTCGACGACATGCCATGGCTAGAGATACCGAAAGCACGAGAAGCCGTATTTATTGAGCCACCACGCTCTGTTGGAGGGCTCTTGGGAGGCAGCAGTTCCGCCCCTAAGATGTCCAAGCTCCAAGCACTGGCTGCGCTTCGCAAGAAAAAGGCCGAAGAGAAGAAGGATCAAGAAAGAACCACTCCGCCAGAAGACGAAGTGTCGAAGCTTTCGATTTCCGATAGTCGCAACAAAGAGAATACCGGCCTTGGCTCGAAGCTTAAACACGACTCAGCAGTGGCCTCTGATGCGCCGGCGCAGGAGGGAGAGATACCAAAAGGCGTCGTTGGCAATTCTGTCGGGGGACACGCCGATTCGCCAGCCATCAATGAAAGCGAATCCAGTGTCAATACCAAACCTGAAGAGGAGCCGGTAGTGAGCCATAGCCATGCTCCTTCTGCATTCGCGCGCACACTGTTCGGCTCGGCTCTGGAGGCGGACCAAACGCAGAGGCGTCATGTTTTTGCCATGCCATACACCCAGTCTTCCTCTTTCCTAGCCAACGCCTTCTCGGAGCCCAGTCCAGACGATATTGTGCTCGCAGCTCAGGCGAAAGGTTCGAGTTTTGCTAAGGCGAAATGATGGGCTAATTCTAATTTTTCAACCAGCGGGAAAGAAAACTCCAGCCACACCGAAAACCACGAAGAAATCACAAAAGAACGAGGAAGCCGCCAAAGAGGGCGGGCTTGCGAGCAGCGTCTCAAGCCTCAAGATTAACGACGGGCCGCCACCTAATAGCAAAGGCCTCGACGTTATCAAGGAATTTGAACAAAATGCTAGCAAGAGGAATGCTAGTTTCGTAGTCGTTGGTACGTTTCTTTATGTTGTTCCGAGAACGATTACTGCCTGAGATGAATGTCACTGACTATCGTTTAGGACACGTCGATGCTGGCAAGAGTACATTAATGGGCCGACTTCTTCTGGAGCTGAAGCTTGTTGAGGAGCGCACAGTCGACAAATACCGCCGACAAGGTGAAAAGATTGGAAAGCAATCTTTCGCGTTGGCATGGGTCATGGACCAGCGAAGTGAAGAACGAGACCGAGGAGTGACGATAGACATCGCCACCAATCACTTCGAGACCGAGTCAACAAAGTTTACAATTCTAGATGCTCCGGGCCATCGAGACTTTGTGCCCAATATGATTGCTGGCGCTAGTCAGGCAGACTTTGCAATCCTTGTTATCGATGCCAACACTGGAGCTTACGAGAAGGGTTTGAAAGGCCAAACACGAGAGCATGTTCTGCTTCTACGGAGTTTAGGTGTTCAACAGCTAATCGTTGCTGTAAATAAACTCGACATGGTCGGGTGGTCCCAGGATCGTTTCCAAGAAATTTTAGAGGAAGTTTCTGGGTTTTTGACTGGCCTCGGGTTTCAAGACAAGCATGTCACGTTTATTCCCATATCAGGGCTGAACGGAGACAACATTGTCAAGAGAACAGAGGATGCTGCTGGACTCTGGTATAAAGGACCTACTCTAATAGAGGGCTTGGAAGCATCTGGGCCGTCAACCGCACGAGCTCTAAAGAAACCCTTCCGGATGGCGATTTCTGAGATTTTCCGCTCGCAGCAGGGAACTACGACTCTTGCTGGCCGTATAGACTCTGGCACCATCCAAATTGGAGATCCTGTGCTAGTGCAGCCAAGCGGAGAGTCGGCGTACATCAAATCTATAATGCTTGATACCGAGGCCAAGGACTGGGCGGTGGCTGGACAGAATGTCAGCGTTGCTTTGACGAACATCGATCCCATTCATATCAAAATCGGCGACATCATCTGCCACACAACGGATCCCATCGCTGTTGGCGATACATTTACCATGAAGGCCATGGCATTTGAGCATCTGATGCCGATGCCAGTGGATCTTCACCGCGGCAGACTCCACGCAGCAGGCCAGATTCAATCCATAGCGGCTACTCTCGACAAGGCCACTGGTGAAGTAGTCAAGAAGAAGCCCAAGGTTGTACAGCCCGGAGGTGTGGCTCGGATTTTGATCAAGCTGGAGGCAAAGGTTCCCTTGGAGGCCGGACAACGGGTTGTTATACGAAGCGGAGGTGAAACCATAGCCGCTGGCTTATTAGAGTAAAATTGGCATTATTTTCTTTTTACTTTTCTCCTTTGGTTTACGGGTATAGACTGGGGATATTTTGCAACCAGAAGCAAAATGGGCGCTTGTTAGATAAGATGCGTATACCAATATCGAAGTGCCATATCAGGATAAAACCGCGAATTTTGGGAGATTTTCCTTTGCTACAGACTGAGCCCATTAGCATGACACATATCGAATGCGGCAAGCCAACAAAATAGAAGCTTCTATCGGCAGCCTTGCACATTTTCTAGTACTTAGCATGACGTGTAGGAACTTTCTAGGTACTACTAGCATGAAGTTGATACCACGTAGCCACAGACTACAAGTAGGTATATGCGTGGCAATCCACTTATAGAACTTCAGCCTCGTTGTGGCAAATCTTAACTTGACAGCAGAGCATTTGCCTCTACGGTATCCACTGGGGAAATGCCGAGCGCTGAAGCGGAGAAATGGCTAGTAAAAACACTTGGCCTGAAGGGAGACTGGCGCTTATTACACCGGATACGAAACATTATAAGCATAAGCAAACTATACATAGAAGGCGAGAAAGAAGGGCAGCCTGCAATCATGTACAACGTGGCCAGAGCGCTTTTACAGCAAACAGCTTCCTGTTCCGTGATGATATTGTGCCTAATACCAAGACTCGGTCCCATTTTGCCAGCCGCCGAACCCCATAGTTGTAGCTCTGAGTCACGCTATTGGAATAGCATCGAAATTCTTCCGTCAGCGTCCAATACCAAAACCCAGAAGCGTGGCCTCTTCGGCCTGGAGGCTGGAGGGGCAAAATGGAGAACGTGTGGCGTTGGTCGTTCACAGCACCTCCAAATAGGTAGGTGTGGTGTTTGGAGCCTCTTGGTAGGCTGTCAAAAATGCCCGGCGAGCAGGTACAGGGCGCCATTGCTCCGTATCATTGACAGAATTGCACTGTATAATAGTGTCTCAGTCTGCGCGACATCACAGTACGCGGATATAAGACCCCTGTCACGTGCGGGGCAGAAGGTTCTGGGGACCCTGTTTGGCTCGCGCAAGGGACCCGTACCTCGAACTTACCTGAAATCTGGCCTTTTTGGAGCCTTCTGGACACCTCAACTTTTTCTGGGGCAGCATTCATAAAGTGGCCGATCGTCGCCTTTCTCTTCTCCAACCCATTTTTTCCCTTTTTCTCTCCAGCAAAGATACCCCCTCGCCTGGTGAATACGCCTGGTCTGAGGAAACAATTGAGCTCGCTGCGTTAGATCGCTGCGCATTTTCCTTTTCTTTTTTTCTTTTGAGCCATACCGGGCTTATACGTGCGCGGGGTACATATTTCGGCGCATACTTTTTTTCCAAAAACACATTTACTTCACAATGGCTCGTTCACGGAGCTCCCTGGCCTTGGGCCTGGGTCTGCTCTGCTGGATTACCCTGCTCTTCGCTCCTTTGGCCTTTGTCGGAAAGGTCAATGCCAGCGATGATGCGGACAACTACGGAACTGTTATCGGTATTGTGAGTGAAGACGGACAAGGCTGAAGACAACCCCCACCATATTAACACGTTTCCTTAGGATTTGGGTACTACCTACAGCTGTGTCGGTGTGATGCAGAAGGGCAAGGTCGAGATTCTCGTCAACGATCAGGGCAACCGAATTACTCCTTCCTACGTGGCCTTTACCGATGAGGAGCGTCTGGTTGGCGACTCAGCCAAGAACCAGGCCGCCGCTAACCCCACCAACACCATCTTCGATATCAAGTCAGTCAAAGTCCCTAATGCGTGTCAAGATGTACATGAAAACACGATCGCTAACAGTTGCGCAGGCGAATGATTGGTCGCAAGTTTGCCGAGAAGGACATCCAGGCCGATATGAAGCACTTCCCCTACAAGGTCATTGACAAGGATGGAAAGCCCATTGTTCAGGTCCAGGTGAACGGCGAGAAGAAGCAGTTTACTCCTGAGGAGATTTCCGCCATGATCCTTGGCAAGATGAAGGAGGTCGCCGAGTCCTACTTGGGCAAGAAGGTCACCCACGCCGTCGTCACTGTCCCCGCCTACTTCAACGTAAGTCCTTTGTCCTAGTATTCTTTGGGGGGGAAAAGCAGCATCGTTGTGCTAACAGTCTTTCAGGACAACCAACGTCAGGCCACCAAGGATGCCGGTATCATTGCCGGTCTCAACGTCCTCCGAATTGTCAACGAGCCTACCGCCGCCGCTATCGCCTACGGTCTGGACAAGACTGATGGTGAGCGCCAGATCATTGTCTACGATCTCGGTGGTGGTACCTTCGATGTCTCCCTCCTCTCCATTGACAACGGTGTCTTTGAGGTTTTGGCTACCGCCGGTGACACCCACCTTGGTGGTGAGGACTTTGACCAGCGTGTCATCAACTACCTGGCCAAGGCCTACAACAAGAAGAACAGCGTTGATATCTCCAAGGACCTCAAGGCCATGGGCAAGCTCAAGCGTGAGGCCGAAAAGGCCAAGCGAACTCTGTCTTCCCAGATGAGCACCCGTATTGAGATTGAGGCTTTCTTCGAGGGCAACGACTTCTCCGAGACTCTTACCCGAGCCAAGTTCGAGGAGCTCAACATGGATCTCTTCAAGAAGACCCTCAAGCCTGTTGAGCAGGTTCTCAAGGACGCTAACGTTAAGAAGAGCGAAGTTGATGACATTGTTCTCGTCGGTGGTTCCACTCGTATCCCCAAGGTTCAGTCTTTGATTGAGGAGTACTTTGGTGGCAAGAAGGCTTCCAAGGGTATCAACCCCGACGAGGCTGTTGCTTTCGGTGCCGCCGTCCAGGCTGGTGTTCTTTCCGGTGAGGAGGGTACTGAGGAGATTGTCCTCATGGACGTCAACCCCCTGACTCTCGGTATCGAGACCACCGGTGGAGTTATGACCAAGCTCATTCCCCGCAACACTCCTATCCCCACTCGCAAGAGCCAGATCTTCTCAACTGCTGCCGATAACCAGCCCGTTGTCCTGATCCAGGTCTTCGAGGGTGAGCGTTCCATGACCAAGGACAACAACATTCTTGGCAAGTTCGAGCTTACCGGTATCCCCCCTGCTCCCCGTGGTGTTCCCCAGATCGAGGTCTCCTTCGAGCTGGATGCCAACGGTATTCTGAAGGTCTCTGCCCACGATAAGGGCACCGGCAAGCAGGAGTCCATCACCATCACCAACGACAAGGGCCGTCTCACCCAGGAGGAGATTGACCGCATGGTCGCCGAGGCTGAGAAGTTTGCCGAGGAGGACAAGGCTACCCGTGAGCGCATTGAGGCCCGTAACGGTCTTGAGAACTACGCTTTCAGCCTGAAGAACCAGGTCAACGACGACGAGGGTCTTGGTGGCAAGATTGACGAGGAGGATAAGGAGACTGTAAGTTGAATTCCACTCATTTCTGCGATGAAGCGAACATTTTGCTAACTTGTGTCAAATAGATTCTTGACGCTGTCAAGGAGGCTACCGAGTGGCTCGAGGAGAACGGCGCCGACGCCACCACCGAGGACTTTGAGGAACAGAAGGAGAAGCTGTCCAACGTCGCCTACCCCATCACCTCCAAGATGTACCAGGGTGCTGGTGGCGAGGACGATGGTGACTTCCATGACGAACTGTAAAAAATGCATAGATGTTTTATTATCTAGAGGAACCAAAGAAGTTCCCCGGTGTTATCGTCGGTTATGACGCGGATATGTTTTTAGTCTTATTAAATCTGAATGCAACTCTGCAACTGTAAAGTAGATGCATAGATTGAAGTTTGAATTTGATACCTACAGTTGCTTGTGATGGCTGCGTGTGAGCTTTGAATATGTGATTAACGTCCAAGTATCGCTGTAGCATAGGTAACATGTATTTGTTCGAGGGACGTTCATTGATATCTCCAGGGAATCGTCATATAACTACAGAACTACGAAGGTTGTAGCGGTTGCAGGCTTTCATTCATAGAAGCATCAAAGATGACAAGCTCTCGACCGAACTGATTAGTTGTATCAAAAGAAGTAATGGCTAGGTATTGGTTAGTATGATGGGCATTACTGATTCAAATTAGACTGCTGATTTATACCGTCAGTTTTCCCAATTTTTGCAGCACCGTGATCTTCTGTGCTCGCACCAGGTGCAGTATCCGGAAACTGTGGCTGCCAGGTGGCTCGCAGCTCGATGTGGCCCTATATCGCCTGTACGTTCGAAGACCACTCGATCCAACACATAAATAGGATTGCTATTAATCAGCTCTCTTTCACCTGGCCTTCTTTCTTCGAGATTTCCGATGCACTGGTCTCTTTAGCTGCAAACGCATCTTTGCTCTTCGAGGTCGATCAGCACAAACACATCGCATGCATTACAAGCTATAGACGAGGCTATTGAAACGAGCAAAGGAAGCAAGCAAACATTTACGCTAAATTCTTCGTTGTCTCTTCAAGTGGCCATTATGGCAGATTCTCCGACTGGCAATACCCAGGCGTTGGCTTCAGAGGAAGGATCTGCATCCCGACCGGTGAGTTGAATCTTCTTTTCTGTCTTTTCTTAGCTTCCCTTAGGGACATTGCCTGCACAGATTTGCTGATTTTGTACAAAATTCAGAAACCGAAAATAAAGATATCATTAATCAAGACTAGTCCAGCTGGTACCACTGGATTGAAGGACAGCCCGACTCATGGCGAAGATACCGAAGCCATGGAACTCGATGACCCTACGGCGACTACCCCAAAAGCTGAGTCAAAGGATGGAAATCTTGGTAACTCTGAATCTACCAAACACGGAGAAGTAAAAGAAGACGATACTCAAGAGGAACTGATTATGAAGCTCTTCGACATGGTTCGTGACGTGGCCGCAGAGCAGCTGGCACTCAAGCAGCTTCAAATAACAAACACAATCTGCCGCCTCAAAGAACTCCAAGACCAGCAGCCCCCCAAGGCCGCCTTCAGCCCTGCCATAGCAAACAGTTGCCGCGAGCGTCTCGAAGGCACGCTCACATACCTCATCTCTGAGCTCTCAGCCATCCCCCCAGCCAACTGGACCACCTACAAAAGGAAGCTCCTCAAGTTTTGCGAATCCGAGCTCATTCTCACCATGACCTTCCCGGAGCGTCTCTACAAAGTCGTCGACATAATCTATCTCCCGGAAGAAATGGACGCGATACCAAAGGAAGAATTCGAGAGACTGCACAGCGTGGCGAGGATTTGCGTCGCTGCCGCTCAGGCGCTGGGACCGGAGAGCGAGAGTGAGGAAGCACTGGCTGAGAAGTGGATCAGGGCAAAGGCGCAGGATCTGGAGTTTCTCAAGAAGATGTTTCGTTCTATGCGAGGGATTTACAAGGCTTCTGCGCCTGAGCGAACGGAGATGCCTTGGGAGACGAAAGCGTGAGAACGGAATAATGGACAAGCTCGCGGGAGTCCCCAGAGCTTTTGAGATACGTATTTTGGGATTTATTAGCAAGGGGGGGGGGGGGGGGGGTGGTAAGTGTTGCGAAACAGGCAGTTGGACAAGTTTTACGTGAGGATATTCACAATGATGCCATTTAAATTCGTTCTAGATAATAAGAGAAGCAAAAAAACAAGTTATTCTCATGACCCTTGGTCTTCCCAAGATGCTTCTGATAGCTCGCCCTCTAAGTCTTGTCCTGTAAATTGAAATCACGTGATAGCGCGGTTCAGCTCGCATCGAAAAGACGCGCCGTCGCGGTAAATGGATTACGACATCGAGCCAGCGTTTCCGCAAGGTGTCTCACAAAAAAAAAAACAGGGCGACTGAGGTTGTCTTTTGAATTGTTCCTTTGAGAAATTTGACTTGACCATTGGAGCCTCAAGTTCAACGTTTTGACACTTTTTATTGCCCCCAAAATGCCTGCTACCAAGCGATCAGCTCCCGTCCAAGAAGAGGTGACGGGCACGCGCCGGCGCTCCGGCCGCTTGTCTAGCACGCAGCTGAAGAGCGTATACTTTGAAAGCGAAGATGAGAGCGAAGAACAAGCTGCCGGACGCAAGAAGAGAGCAACTCTGACTAAAAAGCGGGGCAGAAAAGCAATGGATGAATCTGATGAGGAAGAAGAAGTCTTCAAAGAAGATTCAGAGGAAGAGGCGGAAGTGCAGCCCAAGAAGAAATCCCGGGGACGGCCTCCAAAGAAGGCCAAAGAAGAGTCTGATGAAGATCAATATCATACCCCGAAAGAAGATGAAGATGATAAAGACAACAATGAGGACGATGAGGACGAGGACGATGACGATGGACCGCGCAAGGTTGAGATCATTCCTTTGGAGAAGCTGCGAGATACGGGAGGCGTTCCGTATGAAGACCACTATGTGCATAAGAATACCATGCTGTTTCTGAAAGATCTAAAGGCAAACAACAAGCGACCATGGCTGAAATGTGAGCAAACAAACAATCATTGTCCTTGAATCTCAGGTCCAATGCTAATTGGCTACTATTTACAGCACACGATGGAGAATATAGGAGAGCATTAAAGGACTGGCAGTCATTTGTCGACGCGACCACACAGACACTCATCGAGGTTGACGAAACCATCCCCGAACTTCCCGCAAAGGATGTCATTTTCCGCATCCACCGTGACATTCGCTTCAGCAAAGACCCAACGCCGTACAAGGTACGCAATTATCCCTAAACACCATTAAACTCTTACTTACGTAACTTACTTTTTGAAATACAGGCTCACTTCTCCGCCGCTTGGTCCCGCACAGGCAAAAAAGGTCCTTACGCGGTATATTACATCCACTGCGAGCCCAAGGCCACTTTCATAGGTGGCGGGCTGTGGCATCCCGAGGCAGCGTATATAGCCAAGCTGCGGGCGAGCATCGACGAGAGGCCGAGGAGGTGGCGACGGGCGTTCAGCGATCCGCACTTGAAGAGGGTGTTTTTCCCGGCAGTAAAGGAAAAGGACGGGGTGGAGGCCGTGGTGAAGGCTTTTGTGGCGCGGAATCAAGAGAATGCGCTCAAGAAGAGGCCAATGGTATGTGTTTTTCTGCGTCGCTATACTTGCATGGGCTACGTTATTCTTCCCTATCCCAACTTTGCCAAGACGACTTGGTTATTGTTGGCTAACTCGGTGATTCAGGGCTACGAAGTCACGCATCGCGATATAGAGCTTTTAAAACTTCGAAACTTCACCATCGGTACCAAGCTGGACGACAGTGTCCTGAGCAGTGACGATGCACAGGCCAAAATCAAAGAGACGATGAGGGGTCTAGAAGGCTTTGTATGTCTCCCAATGCTGGCGACTACATCAAGTTGTCATTTTATTGCACCCATTTCGAGTTTACATGCTGACTGTGGCGTACGACAGATTACTTTTCTCAATAGCGTCGTGATGCCTGATCCTAATCTCGACGACGATGAGAGTGACGAAGAAGATGGTGAGAATGGCGAAGAGGTGCACAGCGATGACGAGGCCAGAGAAGATGAGGAGGACGAGTAACTGCTCAAACAGTGTCTTGGATTCAATCTTTGCGAATAACTCGGAATCATACGTGTTCATATGCTAGGGCGATTGTCATGCATTTTCGTCCTTTGAGAGCATTTGGATATGTGGCCCAATCTCTCAAGTTACATATATATGCAAGCGAGCAATTTACTCATTTCCATGCATCGCTTCATAATAAGTCTTACTGGCTGAGTGTCTGCTCAATGCAAGGGAACTGTCTCTCACGGGTTTCTCATTTCGAATTGAAGCCTTGTATGGTGCAACGTCGGAGTCGGTGGAAACCTGTGTTCTAACGATGCACGTCAGCAACTAATACACCAACCACACAGCATCTCGCACCTCCAAAAGTGGCAGGCAATATCGCGAACAATTGCAAAGCGAGAAGTCACCCAGTGGGGGGTTCTGTATCCTCGAATCAGACGAGATCCCACTTATAAGCTGAAAGGAAGAGAAATCAGGCCATACCACCCCAGCATTGCCACAACAGATACACCGAAACCGCTCGCCAAACGGGCCGTATTGCTGCTACTACTACTATTACTAGAGCCAGAGCGGCTATATATACAAAGAGCTGCAGAGCAACCCCGGAATAGCTTTAGCCAGAAGCCAACGCCCCTCCCCCGCTTCCCCAAGATCGATCGCTTCAGTCTCCGCATCTCGGGCTGGGATCATCCAAGGTTGGCTTGCCAATGGACTTCATAGGACATTAGCCGCCCATGCCAATTCATTGGCGTGCTTCCTGCCATCTACTTCTGCGTGTGTGCCTTACACTTTCGTGGGGGGAGTGCAAAGAGATAGTAATACCAAATCGCATAACATAACAGAGCTGCCTTTGGCTACCGTAGACGGGCGGATGGCCTATTAGATTGTGCGGCCAGTTATGCCGATCGTCCATTGCCCGAGAGTTAGTCGACCCGCGCATACTTGCAAGGTTGCATCTGCATCTCTGAATGGGCGCATAGATACACCGCTCGTCTCATTTTGATGCAAGCCACGCCAGGCCCGTAGACACCAGGATTGGAGCGTTGGGAATCTGTTAGTTGTGCCTATGACTGTGCGCGCGTGGCGTTTCGTTTCGCAGCATCAAATGCCACCGTCGAAAGCTTACTGAGGGGTCGCCCACCGTCGCGAAACGTCATATAAGAACGTACTCGGAGTCTTTTCATTCCAACACCTATTAGCGTCTATTCCAAGTTCTATTGCGCATGGTATCTCTACCCCTCCGCAGACATACCTTTCTGAGTTAATATTCTCCTTGAAAGTTTTTATACTTGCTGTCTGTTGTGTGGCAGCTGAAACCTTACGAAACCTGATACACAAAGTAAGATGGCTCCAATGGCGACGAGCGTTAGTACTACCAACAACGTTGGCGGTATTCGCCCTCGTATTCTCATCCCCGAGAAAATTTCGCCAGATGGCCTAGCAATGCTGGAGCCGCACTTTGACGTGGACGTCAAGTTGGGCCTGACCCATGACGAGCTCATCGCTCAGATCCCAAGTTATCATGGCTTAATTGTCAGATCTGAAACCAAGGTAACAGAGGAGGTTTTACTCGCCGGAAGGAAGCTTCGCGTGGTGGCGAGAGCAGGTGTTGGCGTTGATAATATCAATGTGCCGACTGCAACGTCCCGGGGCATCATTGTCGTCAATTCGCCTTCTGGAAATATCCTCGCTGCTGCAGAGCACACGGTAGCACTGCTTCTCGCCACTGCTAGAAACATTGGCAGAGCAGATGGAAGTCTAAAACAAGGAGGCTGGGAACGAAGCAAACTCGTCGGCATCGAGGTGGGACGAAAAGTTCTCGGCATCGTTGGACTGGGCAAGGTTGGCATGAATGTTGCGCGAATGGCAAAGGGCCTCGGCATGAAAGTTGTAGCTGTCGACCCGTATGCCAACCCAGATATGGCACGCCAGGCGGGAGTCGACTTGGTGTCTGACCTGAAGGAAATCCTTCCCATCGTGGATTTTCTAACGATCCATACCCCTTTGCTGGCGACGACGCTGGACCTTGTTGGCGAAGCAGAGTTCAAGAGCATGAAGAAGACGGCCCGAGTGCTCAATGTCGCTCGTGGCGGAGTCTACAACGAGGCTGCTTTGGTGAAAGCTCTTGATGAGGGATGGATTGCCGGAGCAGGTATTGACGTCTTCACCTCAGAGCCTCCCAAGGCGGACTCAGCTGCTGGCCAGATCGCCAGGCATCCAAACGTAGTGGCCACTCCCCACTTGGGAGCATCTACTGTCGAGGCACAAGAGAACGTCTCAATAGATGTATGCACACAAGTGCTTGAAATCCTGCGAGGCGGCCTTCCCACCAGCGCCGTCAACGCGCCAATCATTCTGCCCGAAGAGTATCGCAAGGTGCAGCCGTTTGTGCAACTGGTCGAGAAAATGGGACGTCTTTACTCTCAGCACTTCGTGAGGACCAAGGGAGGATTGGTTGGTGGACGCAAATTCGAGTTGATCTATCATGGCGACCTGGCAGGAATGTCCAACACGAAACCGCTGTATGCCGCGCTCGTCAAGGGGCTGGTTGCCTCATTCAGCGAGTCCCACGTCAACATTGTCAACGCAACAATGATTGCCAAAGAAAAGGGCATCATCATCAGCGAGACGCACTCGCATCAGCCAGGCGATCTGTCGTATGCAAACCTGGTGACGCTCAAGGCACACGCAGACGACGGCAGCGGCGAGCAAGTTATCCAGGGGTACGCATCAGACAAGCGGCTGTACATCTCCAAGCTGGATCGCTTCAACGCAACCTTTACTCCGGAGGGGACAATGATTTTTCTGCACAATTATGACGAGCCGGGCAAGATTGGAGGCGTCGGCATGGTGCTGGGGTCTCATGGAATCAACATCCGGTTCATGCAAGTCGCGAGTCTGGACGAAGAATCGAAGCAAGGTGCCCCTGATGCTGTGAAGCCAGGAAACGAGGCTTTGATGATTCTGGGTATAGATAGGCCAGTAGATGAAGAGGTCATGGAGGGGCTGCGCCGGTCTGAAGGAGTCTTGGATGTAGTGTTGGTCCAACTATAAGATACATAGATGTGAGATCTTATCGATTAAGCCGGCGCGCGGTAGATGGCCATAGCTTGTGATTTAGGCATTGAAAGCAAAGACGTTGGATAACACACAGCAGCCAGGTGTTGGCTTACCGCTTATCGGCTATCCTACAACTTCTTGTTAAGCTTAAATAGTGACTTTGTTGACCCAATGATTCAATTGATCAATCACACCAGACATTTCAAGCTGCAATGTACAATTGTCTTGTATCTCTAGCAATGCTTAGCATGTACTGCCGAGCTGCCGAGCCGTGGGGCCGCTTTTGGCGCAGGAACAAGCAATCGTCGTCATCACAGCGCTTGTGCCAGCAGCAAGAGGCCGCTAGCCTCCAGCGGCCCACAGGGCTTGAAAGCTTCCCTGCCTTGCGAAGCTTCGAGCCGTAGTTTCAATTTCCTTTCTTTTTTTTTTTTTTTTCTCTCTCCTCCATAAGTCTCAACCTTTACGGTTGCGGAATCCAGATCCATCGATTTCGGCTCGGACATTCAACGGCCTCTTCTTTTTCCATTGCTGCCTACTTCAGCAGCACTTATCTCGCTCTTCCTACGATCCGGACAATTCGAGCTTTCGGCAGCGACCGTCAGCAGCTAGCCGGGCCTGCGGGTCTCCTCATCGCAGGGACGTGCATCGCCCTACTCTTTATCCGCCGGCCGCCATTTCTCTCCCCGACAGTGACGAACGCATTACCGACATATATTTTCTCCAGCGCCTGTAGCGGCACGATTGAAGCCACCCAACTCGAACTCTGGCGATGAACACGAAAGCCGCCCCGGGAGGCCTCGCCAGCCTCCGCCCTGCGGTGCTGGGCTTGGGGCGAGTATTCGGCCTCTGCTTTACGGCAGTTTCGGCGGCGCCTATATCGTCGCAAGAGCGTCATGAGGAGCACACAGACACTCCCGTCTGGGTACTGGCCGTCGCGTCGATGACGCTTGTTTTGCTGGGCGGCGCATTCGCCGGCTTGACCATCGCGTACGTGACTGGCCTCCAACCTTGGCAACCGTGACACGAGTTACTGATACCGTAGCAGATTGATGGGCCAAGACTCCATCTACCTCCAGGTCGTCTCTGGCGATCCTACCGAGCCGCAACACAAGAACGCGGCGCGAGTCCTTCGGCTGCTCAACAGGGGAAAGCATTGGGTACTGGTCACTTTGCTGCTCGCCAACGTCATTGTTAACGAATCGCTCCCCGTGGTACTGGACCGCTTTTTGGGCGGCGGTGTTGCCGCCATCATAGGCAGCACAATCCTTATCGGTGAGCACTTGCAGCCTCCTTGTTTTACCACTTGTTTGCTTGCTTTTATCGTGTCGGCCGGCTCTTCCATACTAAATCCCGAATGCAGTCATTTTTGGCGAAATCGTGCCTCAGTCTGTGTGTGTGCGATTTGGCCTGCCGATTGGCGGAACCATGTCCACGCCCGTCTTGATCCTCATGTACCTCTTAAGTCCGGTAGCCTGGCCCACTGCCAAGCTTCTCGATTGGATTCTGGGAGAGGATCACGGTACCGTATACAAAAAAAGTGGCCTCAAAACGCTTGTGACTCTACACAAGTCTCTTGGCGAAGTGTCGGAGCGACTGAACCAAGATGAGGTCACCATCATCACCGCCGTTCTGGATCTCAAGGACAAGCCCGTATCGGAAGTCATGACTCCCATGGACGACGTGTTTACGCTTGCAGAGGACCATATTTTGGATGAGGAAACCATGGATACGATTCTTTCTTCTGGATACTCGCGAATTCCAATCTACCGCTCAGGCAAACCAACCGACTTCGTGGGAATGCTTCTTGTCAAGACCCTCATTACGTACGATCCCGAAGACCGCATTCCGGTTAGGGAAGTGCAACTGGGGGCCGTTGTAGAAACACGGCCTGAGACGAGCTGCCTGGATATCATCAACTTCTTCCAAGAGGGAAAGTCTCACATGGTGTTGGTCTCTGAGTTTCCTGGGTCCAACCACGGTGCTCTTGGCGTGGTTACCTTGGAGGATGTCATTGAAGAGCTTATCGGAGAGTGAGTGCTGGAGCTTTCAATTTGTGGTCCCTTATCAGATATCATATTTGCCGAGCATGCTATGCTGTCTGTTACTAACGCGAGGCATACAGGGAAATTGTCGACGAATCAGACGTCTATGTTGACGTGCACAAGGCTATCCGGCGTCTAGCCCCTGCTCCTCGAGTGCACCGTAGGCACAGTGACAATCCAGGCGCAGGAGTGGCGGTAAGGAAGACGCCGGACATCGTGGCTAATATCCACAAACATTCGGAAGGTCAGACCCTTGACGTTGGCTCTTATAAGAGTGACTCAGGTCACCTTGAGCGCCCTCCCAAGACAGCTGTGTTCATGAAGCGCCAACATTCAGCAGGTCCCGACGGCCGCATGGGAAAGAGTACGGTGCCTGTCAAAGCCTCGCTTGATGAGATGCGACAGCAACTCCGGCTCGGCCCCGCGAACCGCGCGGCGAACCCTCGGAGCAGCACGAGGGGAAGCGTATTCAAGATTAAACAGGGCTTGGGGACGACGGTAGTGACGACGACTACAACCGAGCCTGCAAAGCCGGTCAATGGCGAAGCAGAGGGTGCAGACGAGCACACCGAAACAACGCCGCTATTAGGCAAAGACCAGAATGGAACGAGATAGCGATGGCAGGGTGAAATACTGCTTCAAAAATGTGTGTGGAGACGGCGAGAGCAATGAAAAGGAGTAGCAAACGATGGAGTCTAAATGCTCCTATGGAATAATGCTTTGAAAAGGAAAATTGTGTGACTAGGACACGAGATTTGTTTCATGTATCTCACTTTTACTTGATATGCTAGCGTTTTCAAGAGCCGTGGAATTTGTCCCATGGTCTTTCGGGGCAAATGTCCTTTTTCCTCGTATCAATACTATGCATGTCGTTGATTTTCTCTATGCCCTTTACGTCTTTGTTCTATTATCCTATCGCTGTTGAACGCCTCGTTTTTCATCTCTAATCGTACCAAATAGCATTCATGCCAAACCCAGGCTCTGGAACCCGCACCCTCGCAACCCGTGCCAAGAATTCGTCCTGCCACCGATATATCTCCAACCATCCCTCTTGATCGTCCGTGATGGCAACCCACTCATCAGTCCAATCGCTCGGCGCCACGGCATTGCTATGCCCGCCGCTCGTGGGCGTCGGATTCAGGCAGATCTGGCGCTCAATGACACCGTCTTCAGACAGCTTGAAGGCGGCGACGTAGCCGGTGAGGTCGAAGCTGTTGGCGCGAGACGAGGCGAAGAGATATTTGCCCGAGTATGAGAGGGTACACACGTCGGCGCGGTACTGGGTCCAGCGATTGGGGATGCCCGGCGGGATCAGGGGGAAATGGCGGTGCGTGAAGATTGGCAGGTGAGTCGCGGGATCGATGAGGTATTCGCAGATGCGGTTGCCCTTTTCCATGAGGGCGTAGAGATAGTTGCCCGACGGGTGGATGGCGACCCATCGTGGGTGGTCGCGCGGGTCTGGACAGTCGACGGCGCCGACGAGCTCGAGCTCTGGGGACTCGGGCTGCCGCTTCTTGTGGACCCAGAGCTTGTTGGCTGTGAGATCGGCTGAGTAGAGGTACGTCTCGGTCGGGTCGAAGACCATGCCGTGGATGCCCGTGTTGGGCTGATACTCGTAGTTCTGGACGTTGTTCACCAGGGCGCCGGAGGAAGCATCCGTGGTAAAGACGGAGCCATGGCCGGCGTGTTTGTAAAAGGGGTTGCAGTAGACTGCGTGGGGGGGCTTTTTGGTGGCGAGGAGGAAGATGGCGCGGGTGTTTGTTTCGGGGGAGGCGGCTTGAGCTGTGATGATTATTAGAAATTGAATCATTGAATTCGACATGTATATTGGTGACATGGGAGAGACGTACGATCGTGAAGCATTGGGTGAGAGGCTTGGTGGACGATTTCTGTGGGCGAGTTGACCTTGAAGCTGGACCACTTCTTCATGGCAGCTCCGTAGATGGCTTTCTTCTCATGCTGTTGAAAGTGAATGTATTAGTTTACTTGCACGATATATACAAACGATTTCTTTTTGAGCTGCGGCTTCTAAACTTACATCAAACGTCATCCATGAAATGGGCTCATCATTCGCAATCTCGGTGCGCTTGACGAGCTTGAGCGTGAGCGCCTCGTCGTCAAAGGCAAACGTGAAGATGGCGCCGGGCGGCGTCCACGTGCCGACCATGAGATGGTGAATCCCCATTTCCGAGGGCAGTTTTGGCGTCTCACCGATTTCGCTGTTTGTGCGTCGCGATAGTTGGCGCAACTGGCGCCCGCGAACGTGGGTACTGGCGGCTGGTGTGAGGAGTTTTGAGCGAAGCGCTGTTGCGAGCCGGTTCAAACTCATGTAAAGGGGAGAATCGTACGATGAAGGAGATGAAGATGATGATTACAAAGGGTTCAATTGGGTAGTGATGTGACAAGGTTCAAGAGAAATGGACATGACATCTACTGACTACATCATGGCAACTTCGAATCATCGAGGATATTCCTTTATCCCCCTGCTCGACCCTGCACCCAAAAGCCTCGAATTGTGCTAAAAACCCCCCGATGCTAGTGCCACTCTCTACCGCCGCTATAGCCGGAGCCCCTACAATAGTATCACTGAGAAGCAGGAAATACTCAACTCGCCATTTACCGCTCGTTGGACCGGGATTCAAACCGCACTGAAACGATGCAGAATCGCGGGGCAAAAAAACGACATCACCTGTTGCTACTGTAAGAGAAAAAACGGACATGGTGCTCGCCTCGCTCGCCTAAGGTGGGGTTCGGGGGACCTGGCGGGGGGCCCGCAGGCGCTAAGGAGGGAAAAATGAGGGGCTTCCCGGTCGGTTTGTAGATTCGGTAATTGGGACTGGAGAAGCAATGAGGCGCTGGACTGGTTGAACTTGCGGTTTCGGGTAGTTAATGGCTTGGATCCGTGGGGGATGCGGCGGGAGGGCCATCCGGGGAGTGATGCTGCAGATGCTCGGTGTTGTGATGTCTTGCTGCTTCATAGTCGAATATTATTACCATTACTAGATATTGAATCAAATGAGATTATTTACAACTACGAGCGTGATGTCAGTAATGCATGTAGCCAGCCTATCAAGTCTCCATCTGGTGTCAAAATGCTGCCATCAATGCTCGCAGCTGTCTGCCCCGGCGCGGCTTTTCCGGTGTTCGTTGGCATCGCCGCACAGCAGTCCCGACTCCAGCTCCCGGACCTCGTTTCCGACCCCAGGTGGCTAAAAAATACTCCCATGTGCCGGTGGCTTCATGGCCCATGGCGCCTTTCCCCACACCTTGCCCCTTCGACCACTGGCCATGAGGCTATTTTGTCTGACAGTTTCTTTACCCGCCATGCAGCTGTCTATGCATGCACATGTCAGATCCTGATATTACGTGCGGGAGGATGGCCACCTGAAGATCTTTTTTTTAATATATATATATCGCAACGTCCCACCGTCTTCTATTCTTCCTTTCATACTCCATTCCTCATTGCATTCTTAGTCTTTTACTCCCTTTCCTTCTCGCATCATCCATACAGCTCTAGTACCCTGTTCATACATTGATAGATACCACTAGCAAAGCCTCAATCTCGTCTCTCGATAATCACACACAAAAGTCTCTAAACACCAGCAACAAACACACACAATGGCTACCAACGGCACCACCAACGGCGCCTCGGCCCGCTTCGACCCGACCTTCACCAAGCGTGTCATTGAGACCATGGGCCCCAACATGACTCCCCGCAACCGCCAGGTCATGAGCTCTCTGTTAACTCACCTGCACGACTTTGCCCGCGAGGTCGAGCTCACCGTGGACGAGTGGATGACGGGCGTGCACTTTATCAACGCCGTGGGCCAGATCTCGACCAAGACCCGAAACGAGGCCCACCGGGTCTCTGATGTGCTTGGCTTGGAATCGTATGTCCTTCATTGCATGTACACTTATAGCGGCCTTTGACTAACACGCCGATTTAGCCTCGTTGATGAAATCGCCAACAAGATCGTCGCCGAGGGCGACATTGATCCCACCTCATCCTCCATCCTGGGGCCCTTCTGGTCGCCCAACGCCCCTTTCCGCGAGAACGGCGGCTCCATCATCCAGAACCCCAACCCCGAGGGCCGCGTCGCCCTGATGCACGGCACCATCACCGACCTGCTCACCGGCAAGCCCATCCCCAACGCCGTCTTCGACATCTGGCAGGCCAGCGCCAACGGCAAATACGACTTCCAGGACCCCGAGAACCAGACCCCCAACAACCTGCGCGGCAAGTTCAGGGCCGACGAGAACGGCAAATACTGGTTCTACTGCTACCATCCTACTGCCTACTCTCTGCCGACCGATGGGCCTTCCTACAAGCTGCTGACGATGATGGATCGCCACCCCATGCGCCCTGCCCACATTCACATCATGGTGAGTTTCTCGACATGGACTGACAAAATGGCGAGCACTGCTAATCAGATACTCTGTAATAGGTCACTCACCCCGAATACAGGGGATGCACAACCCAGCTCTACCCCAAGGATGACCCCTGGTTGGCCACTGACACCGTCTTCGCCGTCAAGGACGACCTCATTCTGGACTTCAAGCCCCTCAAGGGCGACGACAAGGCTACTCTGGATTTGGAGTATAATGTCATTTTGGCGCCCAAGGGATACAAGGGCAAGCAGTTTTAATAAAAAAAAAAAAAGAAACAGGGAGAAACCGGAATATGCTGCAGCGATATTTGGCTAACTACATGTGTTTTTCATGTATATTTTGGGACGGAGCTTAGAATGACGAGATGGGAAAAATTATCCTTTGGTTGTATTATCAGCTAGCTTTGCATATATGTTTTGTATCATTTACTATTTTATATAGTATATAGCATTTTATTTTTATACCATCTTTCATAAAGAAGAAGCAAAAAAAATACGCGGATAGAGATACCTAGTACACTCCCCATTGCTTGCATTTTGCTATTGCTTGCATGCAGGATGCAGCATGTATGTGTTGCGTAGGCAGCATGGATTCAGGGTCCAAAACTAAAATGGGGGGGGTGGCGATCTCCCGAGCTCTGCAGACGACAGGGGTCCCGGTGGCGTAGATTGTGTTGGATTGGTGGCCAATATAGCTTCCATGGTGGCTGTACACTTCTTTTTGTTACTTTTGTATAAAACCAAGTTGCAGATACGGCCAAGCCCATTGATACACGTTGGTCACTTTGACCTAAGGTAGTAGCATATCGGTGCTGAAACTTTGAACTCTTCGTGGGTGCGACACATTACCAGAGACGAATAACTTGCTCGAGAAGAGTCATGATCCTAACCTACTTCACGCTTCCTTCCTGGAGCTGCCTCGTTATAAAAGAAGATATCCTTATTCTCGCTTCAGACAATTGCTTGCTCTAATTGCAGATACGCCACCCATAGCACAAAAGTGTCTTGAACTAGCTCGTACAAGTACAATGAAATGAAACTACTTGGGTAAGTAAATCAGAAGTTGTGAATCTCATTTGACAATACTAAATTCTACAACCCAGGTCCACGGCTCGGCATACACGAGTTGCTAGTTAAGACGACATCCTTTCATCCGCATGCTCGGCGACGCTACCAAGGCGAGTAGAGATAACCTGCAACGCAAACCACAGCTTCATTTGTCATGAT